GGTCAGAGGGGGGGGGGGGGGGCGGGAGTGGGGGGGTAGCGTGGGCAGCGGGTTGTGCCCGGACACGTGCCTGCCCAGGCGCCCCGGCCCTGCTAGTGTTTGGAGAGAGGGCGGGTCTCCTGCCCCCCGCCCCGTACAACCCCCATGTATCAAAGGGCGGCTGAGACGTGGTGAGACCTCGGGGCGCCCTGGGGGGGTGGGGGGGAGGCGGGGAGCCTGGGTCCGGAGCAGGGGAGGGGCAGAGGCGCCGGTGCTAGCTGACCCACAGGAAACGAGCGCTGCTGACCTAGTTTGGGACACCGGAAGTGGGTGCTGGGGAGAGGGGGAGACCAGCAGGCTGTCCTGGCTTCCGGGCCAGGTGGAGGGCGTTCTTGAATTGACCCCCGCCCGAAGGCCTCAGAGACCCCTAACTGCAGCTGAGAATGGAAATGAGTCAGCACAGCTATTCCCGCTTCCCCCAACTTATTCCTGGAGGAAGGAGGCATTTATCAGGGGTAGGGGTAACCAAATTGGGCAGTGAGGGGTTAAACCAGATGGGAACTCTCTGTTCCTTAAGGGAGTGCTGGGGGGGCGGGGAGAGCCAAGGCCTGGAGGATTATGGGGTGGCCTCCTTGTGCCCCAAACACACCAACTGGTTTGGTCACCCCTGTACCCTCCTGGCACTGTTGACAGAGCTGGCATGGAGTGGGCATCAGATTGGGAGAAGATATCAGGCCTAAGGAGTGATGTGCAGGCTGGAGAAGAACATATTATAACTAGGTTTGGGTGGTAGTTAGTTCTTAGTGGTAACTGGGGAGAAGGGCAGGGGGCTCCCCCTGGAGCAGCTGATGAAATAAGAAGAAATCTCTGCCAGTGCCTCCTGTCCCTGGCCCCCGGGACCCTGGCCTCCCCCAGAGTGCCTCTGTTACATGGTTGCTGTGGGCACGAGGCTGCCTACTGGCACCCCCAGACACTGCCCTCTCCCTTGGGTACCACACCCCCAGACTTGGCACAGGGGTCAGGAAAGGGTTAATACCTCCAGAAAGGGGCTCTTGGGAAGAAAGTAGGCAGTGCCCACTAGGCTCAGGTATCAAGGAGACAGGCCTGCTCTAATGGGGCCCTCTCATCCCTGTCCAGCCCTGACCAATATGGACCCTGTATCTCAGAGACAGGTGCTGACTTATTTCTCCTTCTCCATGGTGCCCCTTGGCACCCAGGGCCCCCAGCTCCTCCTTGGCTTAGTGCCCGCCCTGGGAGGGCGCGGCGGGCAGCGGGGGCTGGGCTAACAATGCACCATCGGGCCCTTTGTGTGCCTGCACTTGGCACCCTGGGGAAGGGTGGGGGAGGGGGACCCAGCAGGCATGGGGGGGCGGAGCGCCTCTGGGGTGGGGACAGTAAAGGCTAGGGGAGAGATTCAGAGAATGAAAGCAGGTGGGGAGGAAAGGGAAGTAGGTCAGATAGGGTACTAGCCCCCCATTCTAAGCCAAGACTAAGAGAACCAGTCTCTGTTCTAGGTGGCATCATGCTGGTATTTGCGGTCCAGCCTAGGACTGGACATTTGGGATGATAAGTCACTACCCAAGGGACTGCTTAGTTGGAGGAGGCTTGGCTCGGTACTGCCCACTTCTTGATGGCTGAGAGACCCAGTTCTCCTGGCCAAAGGCCAAGGCTCCAAGATGGGGAGTAAATGGGCTCCAGGCAGGGCACTGCCCTCTGATAGAGAAGCCTTTGGGCCTGCTTAGGAGCTTCCTGCCTTCAGCCTGCTTGGCTCCCTGACCTTCCTCAGAGTTAAGTCTGCCCTGCCACCAGGCCTTGGGGCCTATGCCTGTTTTGGCCAAGGGCTCTAAAGGAGGGTGGGGGAGGAAGGTGGGGACAGGCAGACGGATAGGACCCTGGCATGGGGTGTGCCCGCTCTGGCCTCTTCCCCCTCCTTCTGCTGAGTAAACTCGTGAGTAAACTTGACGTTTTGCCCGGACAGTTTGAAGTTGCCTCGCTGCTCTCCCCCCGCCCCCCCCACCCAGTCCTGCCAACACACAAGTGGCCAGCTGCCAAGGCGGGCCTGGGGGACTAGGGGGAAGGGGATAGAGATACTGTCATCTAGCATTGAGGGATTGGGTAGCAAGAAAGACCCTGTAACCAACCAGGTTCATATCTTGCCAGGAGTTTTGGATAGGTTTGTTAGCATCTGTTACAGAGCCTTGGGAAGCCCAGAAAAAGTGTCCTCAGAGGAAGTCTTGTCTACTCCTGACCCTCATCTCTGCTAGAGAAAGATATCCAGCTGCCACTGCCCCCCTGAGATGTAATCTTTAATGTTCACAGACTGCCTGGCCTAGAGGAAAAGCTACCTTTAGTAGATTCCTCAGGGACATCAGAGAAGAATCTTCTGATTCTTGTCCCAAAGTCTGAGATAGATGGTAGCTAGGTGGCCTTGGCATCTTAGTTCTCTTTTCCTGAAGCCTCCCAGCTACCAGCCTGCTCCTTTGTTGATCTCATACCTTGACCTAACCTCATATATGCTTCAATGGGCTTACCAGAAGGCCTGGCCCTAGTCTGCCCCCAACCCTTCCTTCACTTTCTAGCTTTCCCAGAACTCAGTTAGCCTTCAGAGCTTCCCAGCTAGCAAATAACTGTGCCAGATTCAGGGGTGGAGGATACCATGTGAAAAAGAGGATTGATGGCAGGCAGATGAAGCCAGGGACCCCCACAAATATATCTATTTGCTGCCAATGAGCATCACTAAGTCCTCTTATGCCTCCTCCAGCCAGGGTGACAGGGGGAAATGCCTTCCCAGTCCCTGCCAGTCCTCAGAGTGGGGCTCCCCCAAGCCCTTGCTTTCGACCTCATGTCTCTGGCTTCAGTTTCCTTCCTGTTTCCACCTCCCCCCCCCCAGCTCCTCCCCACCCATATGCCCCTTTCAACAGACATCCTCTCCTTCCTTCCTCTCCCACCCCCCTTTGCCTGGAGCAGGGGTCCTCTCTTCCCAACTTGGGCCTATATAGTCTCTTATCTTCCCTTCAGAGACAGCCCCCTTGGAGATTTGTGACCAAGTCCTCTGCCCTCCCCACCCTACCAACTAGGCTCCAAGGAAGTAGAGAACCCAAGCCTTCTCAAGGGAACTACAACTCCCAAGGTACACATGAAGCAATTGTGGTGTACACTGGGAGTTGTAGTCCTTGAGCTTTCAAGTTGTCTGAGTCTGGAAGAAGGTAAAAGACAGGACTGGGATAGACTACAACATGGGTACCTTGTGTGTTCCTCCCACTTTGTTCTTGTCATTCTGTGTCCATGTGACAGACACTATCTACCCATGATTAACAGCCAGTCAGCTCCCCTAACATGCTACCCATCCTCACTTTAGAGCCCCACCCCAGAGATGCCCACACCCTGCTCTGCTGCCCTTGGCAAGAGTGGAATGAGGGGCCCCATGAACTCCTTTCCTGCCCCCTGCCCTCCAGGCTGGTTCCCTCCCTTTATGGGGATCAAAGGGCAGGGAGCAGCCCCACCCCACTCCCTTACAGGCTGCAGGCCCTAGACTACACTCGTAGGCTTTGCAAGGACTTTGGTGCCCAAGCATTTACTTGGGTAGAGGGAATGCCAAGAGGCCAGCACCTGGTGGCAGAAGAGACACTGGCCCCCACCCTGAGACATGGAGCCTTTGGCAATTGATTATGGGTTGTCCAGAACATTCCAGGCTCTCCCAGTGTAAGCACTGACCTGACCATTCCACTACTTCTTAAGGAGGTGGCCGAAGAACAGGGTCTTGGCCTTTATCTGTAGGGCCTAGGGCCCTTGAGCCTGTCTGCCTGGCACTAAGGCACAGGGGTAACCCTCCCCCACCCCAGGCCCATAGTTGGCATAGGGTGCTGGGAGCAGGGGGGTAGGAGAGAGAAGGGCAGGACTGCCAGCATCCTGGTGGGTAGGTGCCAACCAGGCCGGGAGCTGGTGAGGGGCAGCAGGCCAGCGGCATTGAGCCAGCAGCTGTTGGGGGAAAAGAGGAGGGGGTACTTTAGGGGGCATTTCTGTGGTTCCCCCCCAGTCTAGCAGGACTCAGGATGGCCTACTATTTAGAGGCTACCAAAGTATCCTTTGCTGGGAATAAGGGACCCCGGGAGTTATTTAAGTGAAACTTTGTGGCTCAGAGCCCTCCTGAGTTGCCCCTCGGGCCCAGGCGGGTCCCACCCAACCGGCCAGGGTGGCAGCAGCTTGCGCAAGGGGTGGGGCCAGGCGCTTCCCAGCAGATGCCCCCTCCCGGCTCCTTCCTCTTTCGGTGCCTACAGCTCCCCCCGTCTGTCTACCCCACTCAGGCCAGCTCTGTCCCCCTGGCCACTGGGGGCTGGCATGAGTGCTGCCCCCTGGCCTGGTTGGCAGGGGCTGGCGCCGGGTGAGGAACTGTGGTATGTGAGTGGGTTTGGGGTGAGGCGATGGGGAGGGCGGGGTGCCGCCTTGCCCAGCCCCTGAGGGCCCCAGCCCAGTACAGGGTGGAGAGAAATCGGACAGTTCCCAGGGGGTAGACAAGGGGCCTAGTGGGGTCTGTAGAGCCTCTTTATGGTCCTCTAATCCCACATGCCCTAAGGGGCTGGGACCTGGGCACCTGTCACGCCTGGCATTGACTGTCCAGGGTTCCCCTCCTCCCTCTTTGGCCACTGCTGCCATCTGTCCCCGCCCCTTACTTCTTCCTTCTCATGGTCCCACCTCCAGCAACCTCTCCCATTGCTCCTCCTCACCTCTGTCCTCCTGTACTCCCTGCTCCTACCTTTCCTACCCCTCACCTTTTTCCCCTTTTAGGACTGAGTAAGGACAGGCGGGGGTGGGGACAACTGGGGCTTTGGGCACCACAGGCAAAGACTCCTGGGCCCTCTCCCACACTGCCAGCCCTTCAGTAACCCCTCCCTCCAGGCTAGGGGGGGGGCAGCACCCAGAGGGTTAAGGCTCTAGGGGGGAGGGGCTGGGCCAGGTCGTGGGCGGCCCCTTTGAAGGAGGTAGCTGGAGCGGGGAACAGCTACCCTACCTCAGCCCCCAGCCTGGCCCTCCCCCCACCCTTCCCAACGTGCTGCCCCCAGGGGCCAGGAGGAGTTGCGGCAAGGCCCCTCAGCGTTCAGGTGAGTAGGCTCTGCTCTGGCTCCCGAGGTCAGGCCCCAGGGGAGGCTCCGAGGCCTAGAATTGGCCAAGGGTCAGAGAAGGACTGAAAAACAGGCTAGGAAGAAGGGTGCCCAGATTTCGCTGGAGTCTTTAGGGAACTGAGGATCGGAAGAGCTGGAGTGTGGGGAGGCCTCCGAGCCTAAGGGACGCAAGAGGACCAGGAGAGGCAGAAGAAGGGGCCTACAGGAGCAGAGTGATTGCTGGGCCAGGCCAGGAGGTTGGACAGGCTGGCAGAGAGCCGGGCTCTGGGGATCGGGCTGGGGTGTCCTCTGGGGCTGGGGGGCTCAGGTTTCTGCTGGCGACTTGGCGGGTGTGGGGTTACCAGCCGGCTCGGTTACCCAGCCCAACCGGAGACACTAGGCTGGGGGGAGGGGGGCACAGGGTAGACCCTGGCACCTTGTGCTGCCTCCTAAGGCCCTAAGGGGAGCTAGCACCGCCCAGGCAGACCCTGCTGAGAGCCTTGATGACCAGGATCTGCCCAAGTGGACAGTTGCCTGGTCCAGGGTGGGCGCTCTCCGGGGAAAGTCCAGTAGCTCCAGGACTGGAAACTCTGACAGGCAGAGAGGTACCGGTTGTCTCCCTCACCCCACATCCGCTCTCACTGAACACTCCCCTCCACCACTTATTCTCAACTGGCTCCCAAATTTTAGTCCCTTGTTTTATCTGAAGAGCAGATTTGGGTGTCCTAAACCTAGTCATCTCATGGCCAAAGGCCTTGGAGGGCAGGCCCTGGGCTTTGATGGTATTCCCGTACTCCCTCAACCCCACATTTACCTAGGGAGAAGAAAAGATCGCTTGGAGCAGAGGCAAGTGGAGAACATGGGGATAGCTTGAGTGAAAAGAGATAGGAACCGAGAAATGAGTGTTGGCCATGGTTCCTAGTAGAAGGCCTAAGTAAGGACAGGTATGGTTGATGAGCATGGCAAGGGCTGATGAAGTAAAGCAGGGAATAAATCTTAGAGAGGACAAGGGTCAGAGAAAGTAGGAAGGGGACAGAAAGAGGAGTCTTTAAGAGAAAGGGGTGGCTGATGGTCAGGAGGTACACAAAGGTGGAAAGGATGAGGACACCCATTCCATCTTGCGCCATCTTTTAAATCCCTCCTATTCTTCTTGATGTAAGGGGCAGTGGGGAAGGGCTGGTGTCATGCAAAGAAAATGTAGTGGTACCCTGAGGTCTCCCTCAGGGGCCCCCATGCCAGGATTGCAGGATTGAGGGGTAAAGCTTAACCCCCACAGCACCGGGAAGCAGCCAACTCCCCTTGCCTCCTTCCCCCTTCGTGGCTTGCGGTCTTTCTTCCCCGCCTTGGCCCCCAGGAAGTGTGAGTGCTGGGGGTGGTGAGGTTAGGAGGAGGGGGGAAGCGTCACATGGGGGATGGGGAAGGCATGCCGAAGCCTGGAGGGGCAGGGGGAGTTCCGCAGGTTGTCTTGGGCATCCCTGGGCAGAGGACCATTTCTTCAGACCTTGCCTTCAAATTTCTCCCTTCCAGTCCTCCAGTGACATGTGTCTCAGCCCCTTCACTCTGTCTCCCCAACTGGGCCTGACAGGGGTGGCCTCTGAGCCTAGAGGCCCTTGGAAAGGGTCTGGTAACATGGGAATAAGGATTCCTGGGTCCCTGAGGACTTTGTACCTGCTATCAAATCTGTATCCACCCCCCGCCCCAACCCCTGGTATAGCTACAGGCCAAAAGCCCTGTCTTCATGCAAACTTCACTCCTAAAAAAACAGGAAGAGAACCTGAGGCGTGGGGTGGGGGGGGGGACGCAAAGGAGAAAGAAGTAAGGGGGAGGGGTGGCACTAGGAGTATTGGGAAGGGCCCCAGGCCTCTCCATCACCCCTGGCAGGAAGATATCACAGCCTGGTCCTCCTGCACCCCAACCTGCTGCCCCAAGTGAAGCCTGGCCAGGCCCCTCTCAGGCTTCCTGGCAGAGCCTGGGGAGAGGGGGGGCTCCATGTGCTTGTGTCTCAGGCCCATATCTATTTTCTCCGCCGTTAATCCTGGTTCCGCCTGCTGCCCCCCACACTAAGCCTCAGTCCCCTAATCCCCAGGGTGGGGAGAAGGGGGGCCAGCTTTACTCAGCTGCCCCATTCAGGGCCTCCTATCCCTGCCCTTCAGCTGGCTCAAGCCAGCAGTGTTGGCCGTGGTGCCCCCCAGCCCTGCATTGGACAGTGCCTGAGGTCAGCACCTGGAAAGAGTTCAGTCTCCTTTCTCTTCAGCTGGTGCCCTCTATCTTTTGATTTCTTGTGGTAGACACTTCCTGACAAGTGTCCTCAGACACTGAGGGACAGGTTATAGAAGCTCTCACCTTTGCTTCCTCCTACCTTTCTTACCCTCAAGTCTTCCCCCAACCAAAGATGGGGCAGGCTTGACACAAGGCCCAGTTTCAAGAGAGCTGCCCACTGGCTTGGCCGGTCTAGCAGGCCTGACAATGAGGGGAGCCTGGGGGGTGGCAGGAAAGAGGGGAGCACTGGGGTGGGGCCCCCAGTTCTTTCCCCCACTAGGCAGACAGATCTTGCCTGGTTCCTTGGCATCGTTGCCCCCCCTAACCAACATACACACCCATGCCCACAAGGTCTTAGCAAGAGGGGGCATGCCAAGTTGGGTGGGGATGGGCCGCCTTCATGGGGCGTTGGGGGACTTGGCCCTCCGGGATATAGAGGTGGGAAGAATGCCCATGGTGGGGTGGGCACCCTGGTAACAGTGCCCCACCCTGGCAGAAAGAAGGGGAAGGCTTCTACCCCGCCTACCGCTCCCAAATGATGATGCTAGGAGTGCCCCCTTGGCCTGGTTGGCACCATTATAGTTCCAGGTGGCACCTCTGCTGACATTGGTGCCAGAGCCCTGGGTAAGGGCTGAGGGAGTTCCCCAGAAGCTGGAAAGTCAAATGAACACCTGTCCTCCCCAAGTGTGTCCTCTCGGCCTCTCCTCCTTCCTTGCTACCTCTTGACGATGGGCATTGGATTTGGACCTAAGGGGTTAAACACCCACCCTTACCCAAGCCCTGTGTAAGTTGGTTGTGAACCAGCTCAAGCCTGTGACCTGACAGCATGGTCAGCCAATCAGCATCCCCTGCCACACTAAGTTGCCATGGAGACTGGCCCTGGGGTTGGAGAAAAGAGGCGGGCTTAGCAGCTGGAATGGTGGGGTGGGTAGGGGAGAAGGGAGAGAGTGAGCCACGTGCCTGCCAGGCCTAGCTCTCTGCCAATGGACAGAGAGGACAGCCCCACCCATCCCTCTTAGGAGGGAAGGATCCTCTTGGGCTCAGGAGGGTGCCCACTGCTTCTTACACCACAGCTACTGTTGCTGCGGCCTTTGCGAACTCACCTGGGTTTTGTTTGTTTCTAAGTCTTAGGACCATTTGTAACTTGTACCATGGGCACAGTGAAAAGAACCAAAGGGGATAGGGATAGATGTGGCCTGGAGACTTGAAGGAACAAGTGATTGAAGGATACCTAGGCGTGACTTAGGAGCAAAGACAGACTGTGAGTGCTGCTCACTCAAGGCTTTCTCACAGGAGCCCTGGCATTGCGGTAAAGGTAGTGAGCAGGGAGACGGACAGACAATGCAGTTCCTGTGTCCTAAAGAGGAAATTTGTAGCCCTTGACTTCCCCACCTCCCCCGCCCCCCAGGAAAAAAAATCAAAACAAACTTTCCCCATCAGTGGCCAGAGCTGATCAGCTAATCAGACAGGACCCTGACAGAATGTCCTAGACACTTATCCTAAGGATCATCTAGGCTAGCCTTTAATATTACACACGAGGAACAGGCCTCCTCAGGAAAGGAAGTGACTTGTCCAAGGTCAGGTAGCTCCTTAGTAACTGGCTCCCTGGGGGTGATTTGAAGGAGGATGGCGGTGGCGGCCATCTCTATATAGAATCTGCCTCCAAGCTACACCTAGGCTACACCACTTTCTGAGCTCCTACTGTGTGTGACATGGTGGCACACTTGGGCTCTTTTATCCCTGGCCACCACCCCAAGGGTCAGCTGGCATTATCCCATATTGTAGACAAGGAAAGAATCTGGGAGATAAAATCATTTGTTTAAGATCATGGAAACTCAAACTGGAGCCTGGCTAACTCCAGAGTCCAGCTCTCCCAGGGCCCCAAAACTATCTCCAGTTGCTCCAGACCCACAAAATGTCAGGGCTGAGCCCGTGGTGCTTCCACTCCCACCCCCACCTTGAACTGCTGAGGAAAGTAAAAAGAGAAATGACTTGTCCAATGTTACACAGCAAGGTAGCAGCAGAGCCAGAATTTGAAGCCCTGCTTCTAGGCCAGACTCATGTCAACCTCTGCCCTACCCCCACCCCCTTACTCCCACTCCTTCTGGCCACTGACTGGGCCTTGAGTAACATTAAGGGAATGGGGGGCCTTCCTAGAATGGGGAGCAGTGGTGTATGGTAACTGAGAGTGGGACTGGCAGTGGGGGAGGGGGCGGGGGCGATGCTTATCTGTGCGGGGCAGGAAGTACCCGCGCCAGTGACACCCCAGCAAAGGGTGGCTGCTCCCTCACCCTTGGAGGAGGGGAGGATGTATGTGTGTGTGTGGGGGGGAGACCTGGGAGTTGTTTATCCTCTAGAAGGGGGATCTGGGAGGGGGCATGAACTTTGGGTGGTGGCAAGAGGAGCAGCCCAAGGAGAAAGACCATGATCATCTCTTGTTGGCAATGTATTACAATATATTGACGTACCTGCTTTTTTATAACCAGAACCTGGTCATGCCTGGCCTCCAGCAGACTTTGTCCAATGTCAATCTGAACTCTCTTGTTGGCTTCCCACCTGAGCTAGAAGGCAACTCCATCCATCACAAACTGATCCACTTTTCAGAGGACTAAGGCCAGATATAGCCACCAGAGTCTTTCAGCCAATTTTCCCAGAAGCCTAAACCAGGACCCTGGCATCCTACCTGCTAACCCAGTGCTTCTTCTGAAGAGATGGGGATTTGAGGCAGAAGAAGTACATAGATCTCTGGGAAAGAACAGAAAGGCAGGACTCCTGAGGCCGAATAGTACAATGATGAAAGATGTAGACACAGGACTCACAGCCTACTGTAGAGCCCCACACTGCACTTTACTTGGAAAGTTACTTCACAAATTCAAACCTTAGTCTCCTAGTGTGGAACAGGCATGATAATCACCCCTTAGAGGGGTTTGGAGATTAAATCAATATAAAACACTTAGAAGAGTGTTTGGCATGTAGCCATCCCTCTAAGTGTTGGTACCCCTTCCCAAACCCCCTTGCTAGGCTAAACACTCTTAACTACCTGTCTACTTGACTACAGGAGAAGATGGGGAGTCCTGAGGATGATCTGATTGGAATCCCATTCCCAGACCACAGCAGTGAGCTCCTGAGCTGCCTCAATGAGCAACGCCAGCTGGGCCACCTATGTGACCTCACCATCCGGACGCAGGGCCTTGAGTACCGCACCCACAGGGCTGTGCTGGCTGCTTGTAGCCACTACTTCAAGAAGCTGTTCACTGAGGGCGGTGGTGGGACTGTCACGGGGGCTGGGGGTGGTGGGACAGCCGCTGGAGTCGCCGGGGCTGGTGTATGTGAGCTGGACTTTGTAGGGCCAGAAGCACTGGGGGCCCTACTTGAATTTGCCTATACAGCCACGCTGACCACCAGCAGCGCCAACATGCCGGCTGTGCTCCAGGCTGCCCGGCTATTGGAGATCCCATGTGTCATCGCTGCCTGCATGGAGATCCTGCAAGGCAGTGGACTAGAAGCTCCCAGCCCTGATGAAGATGACTGTGAGCGAGCCCGACAGTACCTGGAGGCTTTTGCCACCGCCACTGCCACCGCCACCGCCACCGCCTCAGGAGTTCCCAATGGTGGAGACAGCCCACCACAGATGCCCCTTCCACCACCACCACCACCACCACCACCTCGGCCTGTTGTCCGCCGCAGTCGCAAGCCCCGAAAAGCTTTCCTGCAGACCAGGGGGGCTCGGGCAAACCACCAGGTACCTGAAGTGCCCATAGTGCCCACCAATCCCTTGGCCTTCGAGGAAGAAGAGGTGGTGGGCAGAGTGGGCAGCAGCGGGGGCAGTGGACTGGGGGACAGTTACAGCCCTCCCACAGGAACTGCCTCACCTACTGAGGGGTCCCTGAGCTATGAGCCCTTTGAGGGTGAGGAAGAAGAGGAAGAGCTGGCATATCCCTCAGCCTATGGGCTAGCACAGGGCAGTGGACCCCCACTGTCCCCAGAGGAGCTGGGCTCAGATGAGGATGCTATTGATCCAGACCTGATGGCCTACCTAAGTTCACTGCACCAGGATGCCCTGGCACCAGGCCTGGATGGCCAAGACAAGTTGGTGCGTAAACGTCGTTCCCAGATGCCCCAGGAGTGCCCAGTCTGCCATAAAATAATCCACGGGGCAGGCAAACTGCCACGCCACATGAGGACCCATACTGGTGAAAAGCCCTTTGCCTGTGAGGTCTGCGGTGTGCGTTTCACCAGGTGAGCATCAAGGGAGGAAGAGGCCTGCCGCAGGCTGGCGGGGTGAGGTACAGGATCTGAGTGGAGGAACATGGTTCTAGAAGGGTTAGCACAGGTGTGGGTTTCTGGAATGTGAAGAGAGATCAAGAGAAATAAGGGAATGAGCCAGGCTCTGGACACGACACATGTGATCCTAGCTGCTCAAGAGACTGAGATATGAGGATCACAGTTCAAAGCCAGCCCAGGCAGGAAAGTCCCTGAGACTCTTTTTTTTTTTTTTTGGGTCCGGTCGTGGGGCCTGAACTCTGGGCCTGGGCGCTGTCCCTCAGCTCTTCAGCTCAAGGCTAGTGCTCTACCACTTGAGCCACAGTGCCACTTCCGGCTTTATTCTTTTTGCTTATGTGGTGCTGAGGAACCAACCCAGGGCCTCAGGCATGCAAGGCAAGCGCTCTACCACTGAGCCACCTTCCCAGCCCCTCCCTGAGACTCTTATCTCCAATTCACCACCAGAAAACCGGAAGTGGTACTGTGACTCAAGTGGTAGAGGGCTAGCCTTGAGTTGAAGAGCTAAAAGACAGTACCCAGGCCCAGAGTTCAAGCCCCACAACTGACAAAAGAAAAAAGAAAAGAAAAAGAAGGGAATGAAGCCCTAGGTTCAATTCCTCAATACCATGTAAACAAAAAGCTGGAAGTGGCTCAATAGTAGAGTATCAGCCTTGAGCAAAAGAAGCTCAGGAACAGTGCCCAGGTCCCGAGTTCAAGCCCCAGGAGTGGCAGAGGGGGGGGGCAGGGAGGGAGAAAGAGTGTGTAGGGGGTGGTTGTGAAGGAGCTGGTCAAAAAGGTTTCAGGCGGAGGAGTGGCTAGTAGCAAATTAAGCTGGAGGGGGTAAGTGAGAGTGGGATGTGTGTGGCCAGGGAGCCTGACCAGAATGCACCAGAGATCCTATCCTGAACATCTCCCTTGTCCCCTTCGTGCCCACTCATGTGCCAGGAACGACAAGCTGAAGATCCACATGCGAAAGCACACAGGAGAGCGCCCCTACTCGTGTCCACACTGCCCAGCTCGTTTCCTGCACAGCTACGACCTCAAGAACCACATGCACCTGCACACGGGGGACCGGCCCTATGAGTGCCACCTGTGCCACAAGGCTTTCGCCAAGGAGGACCACCTGCAGCGCCACCTCAAGGGTCAGAACTGCCTGGAGGTTCGCACCCGAAGGCGCCGCAAGGACGATGCACCACCTCACTACCCACCGCCCTCTACAGCCACCCCGTCCCCTGCTGGCCTCGACCTCTCCAATGGCCACCTGGACACTTTCCGCCTCTCTCTGGCTCGATTCTGGGAGCAATCAGCCCCCACAGGGCCCCCCGTGTCTACCCCTGGACCCCCTGATGAGGAGGAGGAAGAGGGGACACCCACCACACCGCAGGCTGAAGGTGCCATGGAGTCCTCTTAAAGAGGGTCGAGTGGCCAGGCTGGAGCAGCACAAGGCCGGGGACACCCATGCCAAGCAATGGGAACGTGGACAGGCAGAGCTGGGATGGGGGTGGGGGGCACTGGGACTTGCTGACATCAGAGTCAGTCCCTTCTCCCCAGAGCCCTCTTTCCAATTCAGAGCTGAGGCTTTGCAGCACAGGTGCTCCCCCAGATATTATGTATATATTTACAACTCTATTGTAAAGCTGGGGTCCCTGTCCCCAGCTACTCCTGGGGAGTAGAAGCAATAATGTATTTGATTAGTGGGGTCCCACTTCGGCTATGCGGGTTTCTAGGGGTCTGGGGCTTGGGACCAAAGCCTTGCCCCACTCCCATGCCCCTCCTGGGGTTTTGGCAGTGTCAGGGGGTGAAGGACTGCCCCTCCCTTCCGAGACCCCTCCTTCCTGGTTTCTGTTCCCTTTTCCTGACAGTGAATTATGAAAAGGGGGGGTGGCAAAGGAAGGGTAGGTGGGGGGGGAGAAAGGTAAAAACTTGAAAGACTGGGGGGACTGGGCCTGTAAGGACGGAGCCATCCCAGTCCCCCTCCGCCCTGCTCCAGCGCTGAGTCATGGGGTCCTGGAGAAGAAGGGGGCGGGGTGGCCTGATTGGCTCGCCCGCCCCTGGGGGCAGCGGGGAGGGCCCGCCCAGCTAAGGGAGCCTCCCCTCTCCTCCCCTCCCTGCTCCTCCCCTCCCATTCCCTCCCCTCCCGCGTCCCCAGGCAGGGAATGTCTTGTTCCCGCCGCTCCCTCCCCAGGGCCAGAGGGCAGGGCGGGCTGGGGCTGCGTCTTACCCTCTTCTTCTCCTCCTCCCCGCCCAGGTGCGAGCCGGAGCCTCCGCCACCATTGCCGCCCCTGACTCACGCCGCCCCCGGGCTGGCGGGCGCAGGGTGTGGGACGGGGTGAGGGGTTGGGGGGGGAGCCCGGCGGGCAGGCTGGCGCCATCTGGCGGCCATGCCCTGCACGGGCGGGCACCCCTGCGAGCTGGCTTCGTGCTCTCTGGCCATGGAGCTGGCGCCCCTTGCCAGGGCGGTGGGCAAGCTACTCGCTTGCCGCCGGGAACGCGGGTTGCCGACTGGAGAGAATGGGATCCCAGCCCCAGGTCCTTCCTTGCCTGTCTCTCTCCTTAGGATTGAATCCACGCCTGTTCTGTACATAGCCTCTTCTGTTGGTCTTGTTGAACTCTAGTTCCAGATTTTTAACTACCCAATTCTGCTGGGATGTGTGGGGAGGAATCTCCCCACTTTCCTTCCTCGCTGGGTGCTGGACCCCCATTGCAGCCTGGGCTCTGCCTTGCACTATTTCCCTTCCTTGGCCTGGCGGCCCTTCCCCCTCCTTAAAAGGGGCAGGTTCAGGGGCCCGGTGCTCTCCTTCCCTCCCATGCACCCCTATGCCCATTTGCACAGCTGCCCAGGTACCCCCCAACAGTGGGGAGGGGTGACAGGGAGGGGGTAGTGGGACCAGTCCCTGTATCTATTTAAAAAGTGATGATGTAATATATTGGGGGGGAGGGGAGGTTGAGTGCCCTGGGCCTCATCTTAGCATTTCAGGTGATGGGGGGAGCCTAGAGCTGGGGAGAACTGGGGCTTGGCCCCAAAGAGTGGAGACTCCCTAACTTGCGGCTTTCCCAGTCAGTGCCTTAGGCGGGGAGACATTCCCCCCCTCTCCTATTCCTTTCCTCTACCCCTGCCCCCACCTCGGGTGTAAGCGACAGGAAGAAATAATAATAATTTAAGATTCACTCTTGTGTCCACTTTTGGTTCCTTTATTTTTGGAATGGAAGGGAGGGATCAGGAAGGGAGGTGACAGGACTTTGAGGCTCCTGAGGAGTCTACTTTGGAGGCAGAAGATTTCTGAGGGACCACCTCAGAAATTATCTGAGAATTGCTCTTCCAGGACGAGAGACTCAGCCGACTGATGGGCTTCAGGTAGGACCTGCTGTGGATACTCCTGTTTCAGAGTCTTCTCATCCAAGTCGCTGGGGAGAAGAGGGGGAGAGCAGCCCTTGTCTCCTACATTCTGTTTTCACAGGTGCCTGCCTGCCCCTGCTCCTGTCTCATCTGTTCAAGCCCGGCTCCTGGTTGTAACCAGCCAGTTCTTCTAGTTAATGACCCATCTGTGCATGGAAATATATTCTGACTTTAGGCTGCTGCTGAGGGACAGTTATGGGGGACAGACTTTCCTAAGACCACATAGCCAGGAAGGGCAGAACCTCTAGCAGCCGTAGCAGTCATCCCTGCCCAAGCTTCAGCTGCTCCCTGACAGAACCAGTTGTGGTTTTTGTTCTTTTTTTTTTTTTTAACCTGTTTTGTACCAATACTGGGGCTTAAACTCAAGGCCAGAGTACTCTCCCTTAGCTTTTTGCTCAAGGCTGGTGCTCTACCACTGGAGTCAAACCTCTACTTCTGTTTTTTTGCTCGTTAATTGGAGATGAGAATCTCTCAGGTTTGTCTGCCCAAGCTGGCTTTAAACCTTGATCCTGCTGGGTACCAGTGGCTCACACCTATAATCCTAGCTACTAAGGAGGCTGAGAACTGAGGATCACAGTTCAAAGCCAGCCTGGGCAGGAAAGTGCGGAAGACTCTTATCTCCAAGAAACCACCAGAAACCCGGAAGTGGTGCTGTGGCTCAAGTGGTAGAGTGCTAGCCTTGAGCTGAAGAGCCGAGGGAGCGAGCCCAGGCCCAGAGTTTAAGCCCCAAGACTGGCAAAAAGAAAGAAAGAAACCTTGATCCTCAGAGCTTAGCCTCCTGAGTAGCTAGGATTACAGATGTGAGCCACCAATATCCAGCTTTTAATTGTACTGGACCCTCTGGAAACTCTCACAGAAAACTTTGCCTTCCCTTCAGCCATTCATCTCATTCATGTCCTCCACCGCTCACACTGGAATGTGCTCACTGGACAGTTTTCTTTTGTAGTCCTCCCAAATGCAGGCAGCTTATTCTTCTCAAACGCAGCTGGCCTATAGGGTTTGTTTGTTTTGAGTTTTTGTTTTGTTTTGTTTTCAAAGCTCCTGGCTGCCACAGCATCTCCGTCACTGGCACTAGGACAGTTAGGCATCCTGAATACCTTGTCATCTCCACCCAAGATGCCAACCATAGCTGCTGGCTGCTTGTGTGGTCCTGCAGCCTCCTCACAGGGACCTAACTCTCCTCCCCGTCATAACCTCCTTGGCCCTGATAACCTTCACCTCTGCTCCCACTCAGATACCCCGAGATATCCCTTGGCCATCGCCCATTCTCTGAGGCCCTCCTATCCTGCCAGCTCTTCCTCCTGGCCACTGCCCCTGCTCTAACATCTTACTTATGAGGATATAATCTCCAGACTGCCCCCTAGGGCCTTAACTCCTGGTCTTCTCCAAGACCAATACCTTAAGACATTCTTTTTCTGAACACATCTACTCTCTCCTAAAAAGTATCTTTCCCCTGGCCCACTCAGAAAAAGTCTTTAACCATTGAAGTCTATTCATGGCTTAAACATTTGCTAGAGTAAACCAAAACCAGCCCACTAGAGCACTCATTACAGGCTACAGTTTTCAACATCACCTGAGCCTTTAACTCTACCTGGATATCTCTTAAACTCCCCAGTCAGCTTCTTTGCACACTCCCTAAGGCAGGTATTTCAGCTGCCACCACCCACTCCTTGAAATCCTCATGCCACTCCCAGCCATCCCCTTTGCTCGCTCAGTAAGTGCCCTACCTCCTCCTACTCCCCAGAGAAAAGAGGCCATCAGGGAAGAGCAGGCTCAGTTCTGAGGAGAGGGACTGCCACTCTCCTCTGCCTCAGCTAAGCCTGAAACTCTTCTACCTGGCCTAGAACCCATCTCACCTTCAGTATTCTCTCTTTTCCACTTCTTAAACTCACAGCCCTTTCTGTACTTGGATATAGAAATATCAATTAGTGAGCCGGGTGCGGGTGGCTCACGCCTGTAATCCTAGCTACTCAGGAGGCTGAGATCTGAGGATCGAGGTTCAAAGCCAGCCCAGGCAGGAAAATCCATGAAACTCTTTATCTCCAATAAACCACCAGAAAACCAAAGTGGTGTTGTAGCTCAAGTGGTAGAGGGCTAGCCTTGAGCTGAAGAGCTGAGGGACCGCGCTCAAGCCCATAGCGCAAGCCCCACGACCGACAGAAAAAAAAGAAAAGAAATATTAATTAGTGCTGAGTCCCTTTTTACAAGTTACTGTCATGTGTGAAGCGCTTTTATTTATTTATTTCTTAGTGGCGGTGCTGGGAATCGAACCCACGACCTCAAGCAAGCTAGCCAAGTGCTTTATCACTGAGTCACATTCCAAGTCATGATCAAGCTTCCTGTTTTTGAGCTAGGTGCCTATGTATACACCTATAATCCTAATACTTTGAGAGGCAGAGGCAGGAAGATCTATAGTTTGAGACCAAGTTAGGCTACACAGTGAGACTTTATCTAAAAAAATAAAATGCTTCTTATTCATAATTACAATGGTTATAGTAAAGGAATTTTCAGACTTCTGATGATAGTGGTGCAGAAGCCTCGTGCCTGTTTCTGAGTCCTCTCTAGCACTCTTCAAACCATTATGATCTGGTTTTGGCTTTGCTAATGCCTTGATGTTCCTGCAGCAATGATCTCAACAGGGTTCAATGGCCAGACTGCAGTTCCTATCATTTCACCTTCTCTCAGTGTACTTGGCTTTCCTACAATGTGTGTGTGTGTGTGTGTGTGTGTGTGTGTGTGTGTGTGTGTGTGTGTTGGTCCTGAGGCTTGAATTTGGGGTCTGGGCTCTATTGCTGAGCTTTTTTTCCCCCCAAAGCTAGTGCTCTAACACTTGAGCCACAGCTCCTGCTTTTTTGGTGGCTAACTAGAGATAAGAGTCTCCTGGACTTTCCAGTCTGGGCTGGATTTGAATCTCAATCTTCAGATCTCGGCCTCCTGAGATTACAGGTGTGAGCCACCAGTGCCCAGGCTTTTTCCTGTTTTCGAACCTATCCTTTCTTAGGTTTGTTATTGAGCTCCTCAAAATCATATTTCTGTCTCCTCTCTTGCCATGTTCTTCCATCCTATCAAGATGGTCAAGCTCACCCTCTCTTACTCCATATACCAACAATCTCAAAACAGACACCTCTAACCCCGAGCCCTGCTGGGCAGCTTTCCAGCTGGATGCCCTACAAACACATCATGGTTCTCTCACGGGGCCAGTCCTCTCTCTCCAGAGCCTGCCTTAACACCTGCCCCCAAACAATCACAGGTCCCACTCATTCTTACTATCTCCATCTTCACCAACACCAACTTTTTCTGGATTTAATTGTCTAACCTCTACTCTGCTGCCTTCTCCCTCTTCTTTTTGGTGGTACTCTTTTTGGTGGTGCTAGGAATCAAGCCCAGGATCTTCATATACAAACATGCTGTCTACCACTGAATCACACCCTCAAACCTTAAACTCAGGGGCCTGGTGCTGCCCCTGAGCTTTTTCTTTTTTCTTTTCTTTTTTTTTTTTTTTCCCTGCCAGTCCTGGTGCTTGAGCTCAGAATCTGGGCACTGTCCCTGAGCCTCTTTGGGCTCAAGGCTGTTGATCTGCCACTTGAGCCACAGGGCCACTTCCAGCTTTTTCTGAGCAGTTTATTAGTAATAAGAGTCTCAGACTTTTCTGTCCTGGCTGGCTTCGAACCAGCAGTCCTCAGATTTCAGACTTCTGAGTAGCTAGGATTACAGGTGTGAGCCACTGGAGCCCAGCTAGCTGATAGTCTTAAAAGACAAATATGGGGGGCTGGGAAGGTGGCTCAGTGGTAGAGTGCTTGCCTTGCATGCATGATGTATGAGGCCCTGGGTTCGATTCCTCAGCACCACATAAGCAAAAAAAAAAAGACAAATATGGGGCTGGGAAGGTGGCTCAGTGGTAGAGTGCTTGCCCTGCATGCATGAGGCCCTGGATTCGATTCCTCAGCACCACATAAGCAGAAAAGCCGGAAGTGGCGCTGTGGCCAAGTGGTAGAGCTCTAGCCTTGAGCTGAAGAGCTAAGGGACAGCGCCCAGGCCCAGAGTTCATGGTAGCCCATGTCTGGCAAGAAAAAAAAAAAGACAAATATGATCATGTCACTAAACAACCTAAGATCTTCAAGTAGCAAGTGAGGTCCTTGTCCATCTCTCCTCATTTAGACTTCCAGCTCAGCTCCCCCACCATTCTCTGAGGTCCCATCCAGACCAACACATACACATACTCCCCACTTGGCTTTATTTACCTTTCTGAATGTTTCACATTCTCCAAACTCATACATGCATGCTTTCCTCCACTTAATGTAACAAACCACCAGCTTGCCCCAAAAGCCAGCTCTTTTTTCATCTTTGCTTTGAAGCATTTATTAATATAACCTCATCCCAATTATGCTGCTTTTTTGTTTGTTTGTTGGGGCTTGAACTCAGGGCCTGGGTGCTGTCCCTGAGCCTTTTTTTGGGGGGGGGTCAGGTCGTGGGGCCTGAACTCAGGGCCTGGGCGCTGTCCTTCAGCTCTTCAGCTCAAGTCTAGCCTCAGTGCCACTTCTGGCTTTTTCTGCTTATGTGGTGCTGAGGAATCGAACCCAGGGCCTCAGGCATGCAAGGCAAGCGCTGTACCACTGAACCACCTTCCCAGCCCCATCCCTGAGACTTTTTGCTCAAGACTAGCACCCTACCACTTGAGCTACATCTTCACTTCGGGCTTTTTGGTAGTTAATTGGAAATTTTTTTTTTTTAAGTCTCAGATTTCCTACTGAGATTGGCTTTGAACTGTGATCCTCAGATCTCAGTCTCATAAGCAGCTAGGATTACAGGTGTGAGCCACCAGTGCCCAGCTATGTTACTCCTTTATCGGGGTGTTCCCCACACTGTCTGCATGATGTCACTCTCCCCCATCACACAGGGGTGAGCTTCCACAGGCAGAGGTGCAAGCACTTGGCAAGCCTCAATTGCCCACCCACACTCAGTTCTAGTCCTAGCAGAGGTTCAGGCACCAGGAAGCCTATGGTAAATACAACGGAACACGTTCCCAATTCCTTGACCCAACCTGCATCTGCTTCTTGCTCACCTGGCCTCAGTGGTAGACTCCTCAGAGAGGTTCCTGTCTAATGCTTCTTGCAGCTCTTCCTGGAGAATCGGCTCCTGCTCAGGGTCTCTTCTTTCATCTGTAGCCAGCTGTAGTTGGGGACCTTCCTCCTCACTAGAGTCCCTGGAGAAGCCTCACATCTCAGTTGTCCACAGATGTCCTGGAAGAAGGTTGGGGATTCCCACTGTCCCCACAGACTCCAGCCTTCCCACTACCACTGAGAGACTCACAGTTCCACATCCAGGTTCCCCAGGGTGGAGAGGGGAGATGCACACAGGGTACAGGTGTTCTCCAGGAGGCGGAAGCAGGTGTAGCAGTAGAGACCTAGAGGAAGCCAAGGAGGGAGGTGACTTTGAACTCACCCACCCCACTGTGCTCCCTGGTTTCCAGCCCCTGCCTCAGTGGCCCACTCTGGAGGGTCAAGTGTGTATACTAAGGCACAACTGTAATGTCAGTTGCATATGAATTTTGTGCACACCCAGGAGAATCAAGGAGAGCTTGGAGAACGTGATCTGCCCATGGGTTCTATGTAGATGAAAACATGCATAGTAATGAAGGCGATTCAAGAGGTAGGATACAAGTAGAAGTAGGAGGAGGCAAGTAAGTCCCAGCAAGAGAAGCCCATTGAGCTAGGGTTTCACCTGGGCAGCCTGGAGTACTACAGGATACCAAGTTCTCCAGGTCCCCTTCAACTTCTGTCTTCCCACAGCCCAAGCACTGGGCTTGATGCAGCTGAAATTTGCTGAGAAATGGCCTTAGAAAGGGGCACCTGAGGAGAGGAGTCACAGAAGCTCAGCCTGGGTAGCCCAACCTCCGAATGATGGGGAAGTCTTCCTGCAGTCTAATCTCCATCTTTGACTGCAGCTTCAACAGTCTTTATTTCTATTGCCCTGTACTTCCTCCTGCCACTCCCTACTCCGAAGAATTTTCTCCCTCCTCTCTCTTATGTTTTTGGGCTCTAGGCTTGAACTTCTCAGGGCCTTGGATACCCACTGTCTCTTAGCTTTTGCACTCAAGACTAGCATTCTACCATATTGGCCACAGTTCCACTTCCAGATTTGGGGTGGTTAATTGGAAAGAAGACTCTCTCAGCTTTTCCTGTCCAGGCTAGCTTTCAATTGCCATCCTCAGATCTCAGCCTCTTGAGTAGCTAGGATTACAGGTGTGAGCCACCAGTGCCCCACAAAGAATTTTCACTCTCAATTCTCCCTCCAAGGACAGGAATGAGCACCCTCTACAGAGTCACTGGGAAAGGGATCTATTCTGACTTCTGGCCCTTCTTCAGTTCACTCTCAGCCCAGTCTTATAGCAAAGTACAGTGGACACACCGGATAGCCAGCACCTGGAGGACACTCAGGTGGCCCTGGTCAGCTCCCCGTCGCATCACTGCTCGCTGTACTGTGGCCAACAGGTTGGTTCGGCGGCTCAGAAGTAAGTTGTAGAGGTAAGAGATCCTTTCCTGTGATAGGTAAGGTTCTCTTTGATCCTATATGTTGTTTTCTCTGCCTCTTTCTTTTTTTGTTTTTTGTTTATTTTCTTCTCTCTTTCTCTCTACCTGTCTGTCTGTCTGTCTCTCTCTCTCTCTCTGTACTGGAACTTGAACTCAGAGCCTTGTGCCCTCTATCACTTGCAAGCCCTCTATCACTTGAGCTATGCCCCCAGGCCTTTGTGGTTTAGTTATTTTTCAGGTAGGGTTTTAGACTCTTAGTATGAACTAAGATCCTCTTACCTATAGGTTCGATGTGCTCAACAGCACCATGTTCAACTTGTTTGTAGAGATGGAGTCTTACTTTTTGCCAGGGCCGGCTTCAAACCTGATCTTCTTGATCTCTATCTCCCAGATAAATGTTTTATCTACCTGCCATGTCCTTGGCCATCACCACTCTGCCTTTAGTCCTAGTTTTGGCCAAAATTCTCCTTCCTCTTGGAGGCCTTCCCCAGCTGGAACCCTCTTCTGGTTTTCCATGGCCCTTAACTCATTCTTTAATAAAAGCTCCTTTTAAATTACCTCATTAAGGGACTAGGAATGTGGCTTAGTGGTAGAGTGCTTGCCTAGCATGCATGAAGCCCTGGGTTTGATTCCTCAGTACCACATAAACAGAAAAAGCTGGAAGTGATGCTGTGGCTCAAGTGGTAGAGTGCTAGCCTTGAGCAAAAGAAGCTCAGGGACAGTGCCCAGGAGTTGAGTTTAAACCCCAGGAATGGAAAAAAAATAAAAATAAATAAATAAATAATCTCATTAAAAGTGTGTGCATGCTGGGAGCCAGTGCAGAGATTTGAAGATTGCAGTTCAAATCCAGCCTTGGTAGGAAAGTCTTCTTATGGCCAGTCAACCAGCAAAAAGCCAGATGTTAAGTATGGTTCAAGTGATAGAGTGCTAATCTTGAGCAGAAAAAGATGAGGGACAGCACCCATGCTCTGAGTTCAAATCCCAGTACCAGCAGACATACACACACACACACACACACACACACACACACACACACACAGAGCCATACAAAGTGTAGGGCTTGGTTAAAGAATGAGCTCCAGAATGTTCGTCTTGGCATTCTTGTAGAACAGCATGCAGGCAGTAGCCAGTCAATAAACTAGTTTCCAAACCCACTGTGAGATGCCAACAGTTTCCCCATTTTAACAAAACCTTGAAGACAAGTTCTGCCCCAAGTGATACCATTTCTTCCAGCCCCATCTAGGGCCCAGAGACCTACAAGCCAGCCAGTTCAGATCACCTGCTTTGGAGTTCTTCCAGAAGCAAGAATACTGGGGCTGCCAGGGACCTAAAGCCAAGACAGTCACCCACTAGCTGAGTCTCTTCTCCTCGTTTGGAGGTAGGGATTAGCTAGCTTTAGAGCCCTCACCTGCTCCCGGGATGGGTAGTAAGCAGCACAGATGACCCGCCGCAGCCGGCTGACATAGCTGCCAAACAGAGTGACGAAGAAGCATAGGCCATACATAATACCTAGGCGGGGGGGGGGGCGCACACAGCAGGTACAGTAAATATTGCCAGTGGCACAAAGTGGCAGCCACAACCCTGGCCTGCCTTCCCCCTTCCCCCACTCCCAACCCTGGGCCCTTGAGTGTGGTGGGTACCTATGACTATGTAACTGTTGAAGTCCGGCTCTGAGGGGTGCAGGTGGCAGCGCTGGGATAAGACCGTGATGTTGCCTTGTTGCAGGACACTGAAGGCTGACACCAGGTCACGGTAAATATTCCCCGTATAGCCACTCCCTTCCACTGTGACAGACACTACCACAGGACCTGACATAGAGATACTGTGTGAGGGGTACATGGCCGGTGGTCTCTGCCCTACTGTGGAGAGAAAGCCTAAAGAGAAGCATTTATTATTTGTTTTTTTTTTTGTTTTTTTTGTCGGTCGTGGGGTTTGAACTCTAGGCCTGGGCGCTGTCCCTCAGCTCTTCAACTCAAGGCTAGTGCTGTACCACTTGAGCTACAGCGCCACTTCCGGTTTTCTGGTGGTTTATTGGAGATAGGAGTCTCACAGTCTTTCCTGCCTGGGTTGGCTTTGAACTGCGATCCTCAGATCTCAGCCTCCTGAGTAGCTAGGATTACAGGCGTGAGCCACCAGCGCCCGGCTATTATTTGTTTTTGTGTTGGTCCTGAGTTGGGGGCACTGTCTTTGAGCTTCTTTTGTTCAAGGATAGCACTCTACTACTTCAGTCACAGTTTCACTTCTGGCTTTTTTGGTAGTTTATTGGATATGAGAGTCTCACAGACTTTCCTGCCCAAGCTGGCTCTGAACCTCGATCCTTAGATCTCAGCCTTCTGAGTAGCTAGGATTACAGGCATGAGTACCAGTGCCCAGCCCAGCTGTTTGTTTCTGGTGGTACTGGGCTTTGAACTCAGGGCCTTAAATTCCCTTGGCTTGCTTGCTCTGCTGGTACTCTACCACTTGAGCTTTGCTTCTAACTCCACCTTTCAGCTTTCACTTTTTGCTGATTAATTAGAGATAAGAGTCTCACAGATTTTCCTGCCCGGGCTGGCTTTTAACCATGATTCTGAGACCTCAGCCTCTTGAGTAGCTACTGGTATAAGCCACTGACAATGGGCAGAAGCATTTAGTTTAAAGCAATGGCTAAGTGCTGACTGTGTAACAGATACTGGGCAAAAATGGGTTATTATTGTTTTAGCCTTAGGTCTTTCTCTCCTTCCCTTCTTCTTTTTATTTTTCCTCTCACAACTTTCTCTTTCTCTCTGTCTCTCTGTCTCTGTCTTTCTCTCTCTCACACCCTCTCTTCCTCTTTAGTCTGAGTTCTTGTACATAGATTCAGGTATGTTATGTTCCTAGACTGTGGCACAGTTTCAGTCAGCAGTCTAGTAGGTACTCAAGGCACATAGCTTCATGGATTTCTTACAGTGACCCAGAGAGTGACCATGGTTATCCCATTGTTCAATGAGCTCTGAGAGGTTAGCAATTTGATTAAAGCACCACTTTTGACAAAGGCCTGTGTTTGAACCAAAGCCAATCTAACTGAGAGTTTGAGTTTGACCTTGACCTGGATACAAGTATTACTAGATATGGACAGGGTGAGTGGTGGTGACATGGGACATTCAGATAGTTCCCCTCCATACCCCAACACATGTGCATGCATGCGTGTGTGTGTGCACATACACACACACACACATACACACACAGAAGATGAGAAAGAGGAAGAGACTCCAGGAGGAAGAAGAGAGCCCAAGAACAGGAGGATGGCCCGCAGAGGCACAGGGGGAGGTACAGGTACTCACTTCGAGCCACAATCTCCCCCTGGAGCTGGTACCGGGCCAGGTCCAGCACCCAGAAGACAGCATAGTCCAAAAAGACCAGGAATATCACAAGGATGATGTGGCGTATGAGGTTAAACATGTCCAGTAGGCACAATATCATCTCCATTCGGGACAGGTGGATGGAGTCTGTAGGGGTGAGTGGTTAAGAGCATGCTCCCCAATTCTCCTACCCACCAGACCCCAGCTCCTGGGCCTGTTTGCTCATCTGGAAGATGGAAAGGAAAGAGGCTGTGAGGACTTTTGGCAAGGGTGGGAAGCGTTCTACAGGAGTGGGGGCTCCATAGTCAGAGGTGTAGGCCTTATCATGGCTGTGGTGCTCATCCCAGGCTCCAGGACCCCTTCTTTCTCTCCTGCTTCCCACCTCACAGGTAATCCTCCTCTCTGGAGGAGTACTCTGGACTTAGTACTTAGTATTTTCACATTTCTTGACCTCAGAAAGCCTTTCCAACTTTACCTTCCTCCTTCCACATCCACTCCTGCCAAGCCTCACCTCACTGTGGTCCTGGTATTCAGGATGCCCCCAGATTTCCCATCTTCTGGTCCTTTCCTTGCCCTTCCTAGACCAGGGCTCAGTTTCCCCCTCGGCCTTAAGCATAAGTTGTTTCTCCTCCCTCTGACTCTGCCCCCCTCCCGTCAGCCAGAGCCCTGCCTGGTGCTTTGGACTGGGAGTTGGGGCCATAGGTTTGGGAGAGGCCCTGTCCTCTAGGCCCTTACTTGGCCGGATGTAGCGTCTAGCCTCATGAGCACTGAGGGGCAGCACTGTGGGCAGTCCTGAAATAGACCGGGCGGTCTCCATATGCAGGAAGCGCCTGGTGATGTAGATGTTGTCAAAACTGTCCCGGTTCAGGTAGAAATACCGGTAACACAGAGCTCTAGAGGGTAGGGGTGTACAAGAGGTCCCTTGGCACCCATGAGCAGACCTACTGGGCACCCCAGTCTGTCCTACCTACCTTCCTCAGCCTCCTAAGATGCTGTGAACCACCCAGTCCTGCAACCCAGCTCTCCCCCAGTGGCCCCCACAGCCCCTCACTGGAGGTAGAGAAACGTCAGCAACAGAGGCATGGTGTAGCCCATCAGAGACAGGACCTCCCGGAAACCGTGCACCTTCAGGCTGACAGCCTCGTGGAGATCTACAGCCACCTGGGACAGGCTTCGGGAGGCATTGAGATCCACTGAGAAGTAGTGGGTGGAGGTCATGTTGAATTCAAACTCCTTCCGCACCCGGTTAATCAGCCGCCTCAGAGCTGCAGCCAGCAGGTCCAGAGCAGATGGGAGCAAATTTAAGAGAGCATTGCTGCCCAGGAATAGCGATTGTCCCCACACAGATTAGCCAGAATCCCCAGGGCTCAGACCTGTGGTGGACCAGGAAGGTATGAAGCCCCCCACATATCTGTGTCATATGTACAGAGCACCCAGCACTAGACCAACCCCCACTACATAATCTGTTCCCAACTCCTCCTCTGACATCTGGCTTTGATGAAGACTTCCCCCTCTCTGGGCCTCAGTTTCCCAATCCATGCTGTGTAGAGACTGGCTGGTATCCAGGCCTTTCTAGCTGTTGGGTTTTTCATGTATGGACTGGAAGCCTCAAACTGGCAATGGCCATACCAGGATGAGAGACAGCACTGTGTGGCCAGGGCCAGGGAGGAGGTAACTCACGGGTACCGATGACCTTGCGCAGGAAGGGTTGGATGGACTCGGGGATGATGCAGAACACCTGGATTACTGAGAGTCAGTGGAGCTGATGTCAGAGGAGGGGCAGAGGCATGGTCTGTCACTCCTACTTCCAGGGGCCCTCATCCATCAGGACCATCTCAATGTTCTTTGTGTTACCTATCAGCCTCCAGCATTTGCTCAAGATCTTTAGCCTCGCTGGGTGCTGGTGGCTCACGCCTATAATCCTAGCTACTCAGGAGGCTGAGATCTGAGGATCACAGTTCAAAGCCAGCCTGGGCAGGAAAGTCTGGAAGGTCCGTGAGACTCTTATCTCCAATTAACCACCAGAAAACCGGAAGCAGTGCTGTAGCTCAAGCGGTAGAATACTCGCTTTGAGCTAAACTGCTCAGGGACAGAGCCCTGGCTCAGAGTTCAAGCCCCATGACCACCACCACCACCATTAACAACAACAAAAGAACCTTTAGCCTCTAGTTAATGCCCCACCCCCAGCACTGGCTTCTCCTTATTCCTCACCCCACCCCCAAGACTGAGCCCACATTCGAGGTTCCATATGCATTATATCCCTTGTCTCCTGGGCCTACTCTCCTGGCTGAGCCCCAAATTCCACTCCCACCTTCCCCAACACTTCATGTTCACTCCTCCCTGCCAGGAAGCCCCTTGCTTTCTTACAGCTGGCAAGTCCACAGAGCACCACTTTGAAGGGTGTGAACACGTGACACAGGTAGTCGGCTCTCGGTATGGCTGTCATGCAGTTGTCCTTGGCATCATCAAACACGTGAGTGCATTTCATGTAAGGGTTACCCATCTCTGCGTTGCACACATCGCCAATGTGAAGGAGCCAGTACCACACATTCCGCAGGGCCCTGGCTGAGGACAGTGTGGGGCTGGGATCCAAGGCAGAAGTCCCCCAGCCTCTCTCAAGGACTTGAGGAACTCCAACCAGAATTGTAGAGGCCTGTGGTCAGGGACCAGCTGTGCTGTATTCAATGGACATTAGTCAGAGCCCAAGAAAGGCCCCCAAGCAAGCCTGGACAGGAGCAAGGGTGAAGAGATTGGGTGCATGTTGACCTCCCAGACGTGCTAACATGCTTACCTACGTGCTTCACTCCGTCCATGATGGACCGGAAAAACTTGCGGACCCGGTCGGCCACCACTTTGGCCTTCTGGGCAAGAGCTTTAATCTTGCTCAGGGCACCTGAGGGACAAGGGGCAGCTGTTCTTTGGGGCCTCCCACTCTAGAAGCTAGTTCTCATCTGGAGTGGAGAGGAGGCTAGCTGCTGGGAGGTGGGGATCCTGGATGCTTGGCTCGTGGAGGTGGCTAGTTTGGCAGTGGAGGTGGCCAGGGGACAGGGCTAAGAGGGTTTAGCTGAGCCAAGAAGTTTCTGTTCAGGCCTAGATACTTTTAAGGATAGGACACAGTTTCAACAGAGGAATGAGGCTAAAGGGCTGTAGATCATTCAGATGCTAGAGACCAGGGGCCAGAGGAGAAGGGGGTGGGGAACTTACTGACAAGGGGCTGCCTGGCCCGCTCTAGTATTTCAACAGTCTGGTTCAGGGCCAGCTCAGCCCCACAGGCCACAGCCTCACTGGCCCGAGTAAAGTTGCGCAGAGTGTTGGCACAAGGCCCTTGTAGCACCAACCCAAATGCAGCCAACAACAGCAGTGTCCGGCCATGTCCTGGGGGGGTGGGGAAAGGGGGAATGTGTGACAGCCCAAAGATGGCAGCCAGTGCCTTACACAGAGCCCCCTATGTCCCTGCCCTTCCCAGGAGGTGTCAGACTCACGGGAGAAGGCCTGGGGAAGCAGCAGGAAGACAGAGACTCGGGCCTGACGGGAGAATCCCAAACCCAGGCTAAGAAAGATTGCCAAGGCAACAGTGCCCACCAGACAGGCCCAGGGGCTATGCCTCTCCACCAGGAGCTCCAGAAGCCCATACATCGTGGCCAAGGACAAGCCCAGTGTAAAGCCGCCCACACTGCGGACCAGGGCCCGTGCCCTGCTGGGCTCCTCCATCATGGCTTTGGATATGGCTCCTGGGGACCTAATGCCTGGCTGTCTCCAGGAGATATCCCTAGGTTCTGTAGCCCTGGAATTCCTCACCCTGTTCTAAGATTCCAGAGGGCCTGTACTGTGTATCTTGGAATCCTTACGTAGTTCTAAGGACCAGCGAGAGGACAGATTGCTTATCTTCCACCTTTGACTTCAGACTTGGGCTGTGAGTGAGGCAGAGGAGACAGTAGCCCCCTCCCTCTTCTCACCAGAATCTCACAGCCAAGGAAATCCTCCAGGAGACTTCTAGCACTCAAGAAGCTTCCTTGGGACAGACATATGGCTGTTACAAATCATCAGAATGGGAATGGAATAAGAAGGCCGAAGAAACTACCCCATACCAGTGAGCCCATCCCCAGAGACCCCGCCCTTCCCAGCATCCCCCAGCTTTCTTCCATCTGGCCTCTTCTTCAGCAGTTCCCTCAGCCTTCCTCCCATGTTGGGGGTCCCTCTTCTCCAGTACTTCCCTTCAGCCCAGCCCTTTCCTCTTTTCTGCTTCACTTCCACTCCCCTTCTTCAGAGTCTCTGCCTAATGAGCCCCTTCCCAGCCAGAGGGGGTGTTGTGGCTGACCCATCCTATCTCTCAGTGGTGCAGATGTTCTTGAGCTGGGGACTGCCCATCTCCTGTAACCGGTTCCTGTGCCGCCATCCAGGCGAGTTCCCTGCCACAGCTTTCCTGCTGGGGGCAGGCACCGGGGGACTCCTGGCCATAGGCAAGTATGAACAGCAGGGCTAGGGCTGAGCCAGGGCTGGGCCCCATCAGTTGACCTTTGATTTTACCAGGTACCTTTAGGTCTCTTTCAGTTCCTGGTGAACCCCATGAACATCTATGAAGAGCAGAAGATGGTGGTTTTGTACAGCTTGGTGGGTAAGTGTTGGGCAAGGCTGGGCCCCTTGAGGCCTGTGGAACACAACCTGTCCTAAGTGCTAAGGAGAGAGTGCCAATGAGCTAGCTTAATCCCGACCAAGCAAGCACTCTGTAGCTTCAACCTCCCCTTGAGCTTGGCCCCAACCTAGGAAAACAACAGCCCTTGCCTTCAATAAGCCCCCTCAATCTGGTGAGGGATTTTTGCCCTGTTGCCCACATGCTCTAGTCCAAACCCTCCTACTCTTTGTAACTTCATCTCTTCTGTCCTCTCTGGCTTATTTCCTGTTCCTCCTGAGAAATTCAGTTCATTCATTTGTTGAGCACTTACTGAGTTGTGCAGCCATGAATAAGGTTGACAGGCACCAGCTTTGTTGGAGTTTATACTTAAGAGAATTAGACACGAGGACTAGAGGTATGGCTCAATAAGTAGAGGGCCTGTCCTGCAAGCTCCAAGCCCTGAGTACTAGTGAAATTTATTATTTATTTAGTTATTTTTGGTCGGTTGCAGGTCTTGAACTCTGGGCCTGGGCACTGTCCCTGAGCTTTTCAGCCCAAGCCACAGCACCACTTCCAGCTTTCTGGTAGTTAATTGGAGATGAGTCTTATAGACATTCTTGCCAGGCTGGCTTTGAACTACAATTCTCAGATCTCAGCCTCTTGAGTAGCTAGGATTACAGCCACCAGCACCTGGCTGAAATTTAAATTTCAATAAGAGCTCTCTCCTCTACCTCCTCCTCCTCCTCTTCCTCTTTCTCCTTTTTTCTGTGCTGGTGCCATGGCTTTAACTCATGGCCATGGGTGGGGGGCTCTTGGCTTTTTCTTTTGCTTAAGGCTAACATTCTACCACTTCAGCCACACCTCCACTTCTGGCTTTTTGCCAGTCTTATGAACTTTTTCTCCTGGGCTGTCTTTGAGCCATGATCCTCAGATCTCAGCCTCTTGAGTAGATGGGGAGACAGGTATAAGTCACTAGCGCCTAGTTAAACAAGAGCCTTTCTGATGGTGGCAAGTGGTATGAAAAAGGTTAAAGAAGGAGATGTGAGAGAAGGGCTGAAGAGCAACCCTACCTTGAGCAGCTAGAGAAGACTTCCAGGAAATGTGACATTTGTATAGAGACCTTTGTATAAGAACAGAAAGCCCACCTACAAAAAGTTCATATCTCACATTAAAAAAAGTTTCAAAGCAAGATGTTTTTGGAGTTTGAATAATTCAACAGCTCAATAACTCCATCTAAAAATCCAGGGTCCTTTGGTCTTCTCTCTGTGTCATCTTCAACCTGTCCATCACTTCCATTTAGATCACAAAGTGGCTGTAGTAACTCCAGGCATCACATCTTCATAGAATGCCAAAGATCAGAAAAGAATTAACAATCCCTCTTTTTTTTTTGGGTCCGGTTGTGGGGCCTGAACTCTAGACCTGGGCGCTGTCCCTCAGCTCTTCAGCTCAAGGCTAGTGCTCTACCACTTGAGCCACAGCGCCACTTCCGGCTTTTTTCTTATGTGGTGCTGAGGAATTGAACCCAGGGCCTCAGGCATGCAAGGCAAGCGCTCTACCACTGAGCCACCTTCCCAGCCCCTGAACAATCCCTTTTTAGAAACCAGGTCATGCAGTAGAAACGGGGGCTTGGCCTGCTCTTTCTCCTTTTTTCTCTATTTCCTTCCCTTTGTGGTTTTCCTTGTGTCAGAATAATAAGAGGAAAAGGAACACAAGTTTGAAGTCGCCAAAGCTGGTATAATTCCATTGCCTGTGCCTTCTGGGTGGTAGTCGCTCACACCCTGGCTATCTTATGATCTTATGATCTCTTTGGAAGCTGTGTGGATCTCAGCAGTTCTGGGTTTCTTGCAGACAGCATTTCTACTTGGCTGACTGCCCATGAAGCCCCTTTAGCTCTTGCAAGCCATTTGTCCTTTGGGATCTCTCTGCCAGCAGGCTGCCCTCACAGGTGGAAGACCTCACTGCTAGCCCAGCCTGTTTGCTGCCTCCCAGAGTGTCCTCTGGTCCCAGAGGAGCCTGCCGAACTGTGAAAGCAGAGTATCTTGCGGTGGCCTTCTCCCCTGCCCTGGGGGAGAAGCAGGCTCCCATTCTCCCCACTTGCTGAGTGCCCCCCTCCCTTGTTCTGGGCAGGCCCTCCAGTGGCCGGTGAAGCTCTGCAGCTTGGCAGGCACCCAGCCCAGGAGGTGTGAGGCAGCTTCCCTTTCCTGCAGCAGAGGCCCTGGAGGGTCTTGGACTCCTGACACGCCTTGCTAGGCAAATGACACCCATTTCTGCTCAGACTCTCCTCCTGTGCCTGCCTATGCCAACTGCTTCTCCCTCCACTTCCAGAAAATGCACATTTAGGGGGTCTATTTTTATTTACTTTTCATATACTTGTTTATTTAGTGGTGCTGGATGTTTGTGCTGGTGATGCACACACTCTAAGCTGCTTCTTCCCCCCACCCCTGCAACCCTGCACACATGCACTCGCATTCTCTCTCTCTCTCTCTCTCATGGGACACTGTCTCCAAGCTCTTATGTTCAAGGCAAGCTCTCTACCACTTTGAGCCCCAGCTCTACATCTATTTTTCTGGGCTAAATAAAGATGAGTCTTACGGACTTTTCTGCCTGGGCTGGCTTTGAACACAATCCTCAGAGCTCAGCCCTCCTGAGTATCTAGGATTACATGCCTGAGTCACTAGTGCCTGGCTAACCCTGCTTTCTATATAAATTGCATGGGTAGAGGAGTGGCACTAGTTTTGCTCTGTTGGGAACCTGAAGAAGATATCTAAAACTCCTGCTTGCTCTCCTTTGAGCTTACTGCAGCTATTTGTCAACTATTGTCTGAGCTAGAGTCTTTGGCCAAAAGGCCAAGACCACCAAATAAGTATCTTTCAATGTCCTGTAATGCCATGATTGGTTTAGACAAATCCAGACATTCCCCCTACCCCCCAGGGGAGCCAGGGCAGGGCCAGGCTATTGCCCTTGAACAAAACCCAAGTTGTTTTAGCAACAGAAGACAGGGGAAGAAAAGAAAAGAAAAAAAAAAACCCTGAGGGGTGGCACCCAACTGGGCTTGCCACAAACCTGTATGATTAGGTGGAGCTAGCCATGTGAAGGACAGGGCTGGAGGGCTACTGGCGCCTTCATAGCAAGCCCAAAGAACTGAAGGCAGGAATGAGTGTGGCATGTTTAAGGAGCAGCAGCCAGGTCACTGTGGGGGCATATGGTGGGAGAAAAACTGAGTCACGTGAGCTCACTTCAGGGGGCTGGGCAGGGGCTGGATCACCAACATCTATTCTGTCTACTAAGTGTAGTAGAAAAGTACTGAGTGGTTTACTCAGGGAAGGATCATGACCTGACATGATAAATACAGCAGTCAGAGAGGAAGTAGGGAGATTAGTGAGAAGAAAGGAGTGAGGGTATAGCTCAGGGGCAGAGTGCTAGCCTCTTGCACTAGTGCAAGGCCCTGAGTTTGGTCCCTACCAACTACCACCAAAGGATCTAGACTCTGAGGGAGATGATGGGGACTTAGGAGGACAGTGGATACAGAGGGAAGGATAAAGATTTGGGATTTTTTGCTTTGGCATTCATTAGGTAAACACTCCATCCACGCAAGAATCTTCTCATTTCCCTGGCTAATTCTCACTGTTCCTTTGGCCTGGACTGCCATCTGTGCCTCCTAACAACACTTACTCATCTCCCAGGCTCAACTGACACATCATCTCCTTTGTCCAGCCTTCCCAGCCCCACCCCTCCCTGCAGAAATACCCCCGCCCTCCTTGGCTCTCAGCTCTCCCCAGAAGCACCTCCCTGCAGCCCTGAGCACATCCCGTGGTAGTCATTTGTTTACTTGTCTGTCTCTCTCTCTGGATTATGAGCCTTGAGGAGCTCCTTGTCTCCTCGCAGAGACCACAGGGAGACATGTGTGAAACTGCTGGAAGCTACCAGCAGTCCATGATTAAGGACTAATGAGAGGGAGGGGCCAGGCTGTAAGTGGTGTAGGTGTCAGCCCTGGAAATGTCAAGGTGGACTCTCACCTCTCTTCTGGCTACTCTGAAACAGGCTCCAGTGCCTGTTCCCAGAATTTTTTTTTTCTTTCGCCCACTCCTCTCACTCCGTATCTAGAGTGAGCATGAATCTAGCATGGCTATGAGAAATACTGGCTTCCTTCCCTGACATATGACATGCCCACTCGTGTGCACACACGTCAAGCTATCTCTCTGTGCCCTTCCGGAAACTACACCTTGAATGGCTGTTGAATGAATGTGTGAGTGAGTGAATGAATGAATGAGTGTCCTATCTAAGTCAGTGTCACTGGGGAATGAGGGTAGGAAGGTGGTGGATTCTAACGGGGCTGGGCAGGTAAGGGCACTGGTGAACACGAGGAGCAGCTTTTTCACTTTGCTTCCCCACATTGTGGGGTCTGTTGGCAGGTTTGGGGGCCATAGGTTGGGGGACGTCCCCTCACATTCGCTGTGCCAGTATCCTCTTGATCCCCAAGATGCTGGGCAGAGAGGGCAGGTTGTTTGTCATGGGATACGCTTTGGCTGCCATCTATGCAGGTAAGTGTGTGTCCCTGAGTGCCAGGTGGTGACCGGAAGTAGTGACCCTGGGTGGGGGTGGAGGAACCATCGAATGGGGGCTCAGCCTGAATCTCATCCTGAGCTGCTCAACCTTCCTATGAACTATTCGTGCTCTTTGGGTCTGCTTGGTGTAAACAGGAGAAAAGTCAAAGGTTGAATGAGAAGATCTCTTAACAGGCTTACTCAGTTCCATCACAAGGTAGCTCTGAAAGGTGGTCTGCAGGCAAAGGAGAAGCGAGGGGGTAAGTTTGAGAAGGCCCTGACCCTACAGGAAGGTAACACACTGGGCCTCTTCCTGCAGGGCCAGCAGCCAATCTTCGGCACAACCTCAACGAAGTGATAGCATCACTGGGCTGCACTGTGGAACTGCAGATCAACAACACCCGTGAGGCCTGGCGCGTCTCCACAGCCCCCTTGCGGGCAGTGTTCAAGGATCTGCTGGTCAGTACTGTGCAAGCAGGGCCTATGGGCCCCTCCAGGGCTGAGTCAATTTGAACAGGGAGCTGTGACCCTGGATTTACAACTTCCCAATGGGGATACTCCTGGATTTGTTTTTGGTGGGGGACGGGAGGGGGGGTAGAGCTGTCTCCAAATATTGCAGAATAGACCCTAATCCTGGGGCATTAAATGCCTGCAGAGTACCTCCATTTCATTGGGACATACATGCCCCCCATTTCCAAATACCAGAATGTGTGGGGCACTGAACTAGAATGTTAGGAAATTGGGGACATTGGCCTTTGAAGGAGTTGGAATTGTTTATGGGAGGACTGGAAACTGGGGAGTTGGGACTAATAGAGAAATAGGGAGAAATAGAAATTTGGAGATGGACTCTGAGGGGTTTAGAAGTCAGGGACATTCAGATGGCATAATGATCTGAGAAATTAGTTCCAAAGACCTGAGAACCACTGACCCTTAAGGATCTGGGAGGGAAGGCCTGAGGAAAAGCTGAGGCCTGGGAGATAAGAGGCACAGCTGGGGAGAGGTAAGGCCTCCCAGTACTCTGAACAGAGGGGAATCTGAAGGGAGGGGCTGTGCCTCGGGCTTGGCTCCCTGTCAGCTTGGGGTAAGAGTTCAGAGCTTGGCATGGCTAGAGATAGGTTGAGGAGAGCGAGCACTGGTAGCTCACGCCTGTAATCTTAGCTACTGAGGAGGCTGAGATCTAAGGTCAAAGTTCTAAGCCAGTCCAGGCAGAAAGTCTGTGAGACTCTTATTTCCAATTAACCAGAAAAAAGAAAAAAAAGTGGAGCTGGGTGTGATACAGTGCCATGGTTTGCCTTGAGCAAAAAAGCTGAGAGTGCAAGGCCAAGTTCAAGCCCCACTACCAGCACTCAGCACTATATATATTGGGGGGTGCAGCAGACACTCTGATCTCTATTCCTCCTTTTTTCCCTCCCTTACTCCAACTCCAGAGTAGCAAAGAATCGCTGAAAAGACAGACTCAGAACATCTCTGCCTCCTTTGAAGACCTGGATGCTCAAGTGAAAAGTGAGGCTGGCTACTCACTGAAAGACGGCATGGACTTAGACAAAGTGATGCAAGGCAAAGGGACCCGTGGGGCCCCCAAAATCAGAGTACCCTTGTCCACACAGAAGATGTACGAGATGAAGACAAAGATGCGTTGCTCCTGTGAGGGGTCCTGCCTAGGGGGGTAGAGCGGGGCAGGGCTCGAAGTACATACATGAGCTCCTAAGACACTCCTTGCTTCTTTCCCTAGATGTAGTGAATCAAGGCATACGTAGTTGTCGCCGCTGGTTTGACCAAAAACATAACGAATGCATGAAACACATCCGGGTCCCAATCCTCAACCACTTGGTCTGCCTGCCGATGAAGTTCAAGTTCTTCTGTAGCATTGCCAAGGGTCCGCACAGTGGAAGGAGGCCAGGGAGTACCAGGGCTGAGTCTTTGGGGACCACGTATTTGGGAGGCAGGAAAGCAGTCAAGTGGGGAAAAGTATAGATTCTCTGGGCATCCTCTGAGCCCACTCACCCTACCAACCACTTTGTCCCCTAATGAGGTATAGCTTAACTCTGGGCTTCATCTCTTCATTGGAAAGATGATGGGCATAATAATCATCATCAGCTCTTTAGGATGTTTTTCCCTTCTGTGCGAGTCCTGGGCCTTGAACTCAGGGCCTAGGTGCTATCTCTTAGCCTTTTTCACTCAAGACTGATGCTCTACCACTTGAGGAACCAAATCTGTACTTCTAGCTTTGTGGTAGCTAATTTGGGATAAAAGTCTCATAGACTTTCCTGCCTGGGCTGGATTGAACCAGGATCCTCAGATGTCAGTCTTCTAAGTAGCTAGGATTGCAAGAGAGGGCCATGGGGGCTTAGTGGCCCCTCTAGGGATTTTGAGGCTTCAAGGGGACACTGCATATGAAGCAGATTCCAGAGCAGGCACTCAGAGGAGCTGCTCTATAAATACTGGCTATCATTTTTGCTATTTGCTGCTGTTCAGGACAAGTGAAAACAATGAGGGTGAGGAATCAGAGCCTTGTTTCTGGGGAGAGGAATCTAAGGACAATGGAGAGGAAAAAAAGAGAGGTAGAAAGTCATAGACAGAGAAACAAAAAGCATGGTAGAAGGTCAGGCTCAGATCTCAGGAGGCTGAGATCTAAGGATCATGGTTCAAAGCCAGCTGGAGCAGGAAAATCTGGGAGACTCTTATCTCCAATTAACAAGCAAAAATCCAGAAGTAGAACTGTGACTCAAGCAGTAGAGCACTAGCTTTGAGTTTAAAAGCTCAGGAACAATGCCTAGACCCTGAGTTCAAGCCTCAGACCCAACACACACACACACACACACACACACACACACACACACACGGTGAAGAGGCTCACAGGACAGCAGGCAAGCCAGCCAGGTCCAGGCTTGCGGACCAGAAAGGAGAGGTCCTGATCCTGACCTAGCCCTACTCTTCACTAGTGATGGAAGTTTGGTGCCGCAATCGCATCCCTGTGGAAGGCAACTTTGGACAGACCTACGACACCCTCAACCAGTCTATCCATGGTCTAAATGGGGAATTTTCAGCTAATATTGACATAAAGGTAGGAGTCAGGAGTATGAGTGGGTGAGTTGCGGGTTGATAGGGAATGGGAGGAGGCGTTAGGGAATGAAGCAGGAGGAAGAACAAGTAAGAGGCTCAGGAAGAGGTAACCTGAGGGAGGGAGACAGCCGGAGAGTGGTATTCCTGTCAGAGATTGTACCTAGCCTGTGATATGCACACAGCTGGCTTAGGGATAGAATGGCCAGCCAAGAATGAGATGGTGCCGGGGAACTGTCACAGAGGGTGACAAGCAGGAAAAGTGATCATTCCTGCGGTCCTGGGAGGCTCCTGGGGTATGAATGGGTCTCCAAGTATCACACAAAAAAGGCTGCTGCTGGGTCTGGCCAATGGCAGCAGACTGAGTCTACCCATGTGCCCTCCCCAGGAAGAGAAGCAGACTGGGTTGGTAGGCCTCAATATAAGCTGGGAGCACGTGAGCACTGAGGTGCGAGACTACGTGGAACGGCAGGAGGCCCATCTGGAGTGGGCACTCGCATTGATACAAGTGCTGCTGTCCTGTACCTTCCTCATAGTCCTCCATGGGTGAGTGATGGACCCCCACCCCCACCCACTGTCCCTTCTGCTGCCCAGGATGGGACCCCTGACCTAAAGGGAGGCTTTAAGGATGGAAATACCCAACCCAACCCCAGCTCTGAATCTGTCCAGTCTTTGTCTTTATATCAAGCTGGATTGGCTGTTTACACGAAATTAAAGAACAGGTGAACATTTTCAAAGAAGAAATGTTATCCATGTTCCCACCATCTTAAAAGGGCAAGTGTCTTCATTCATCTACCTCCTTTCAGCCTTTATTCCTAACACTGACTTTTTTTTTTACCTTTAGCTTTGACTTTTTTTTTCTTGCCCTTCATATTCCTCTTGGCTCTGACTCTGTGCCATTTTTATGGTCCAATTTTGCTTTCATTCTCCCTCACCTGCTGCGTTGGCAGCAACGTTCTGTTCATTTAGAACAAAGTCCTCAACCCCACCCAGCCTGATGTCCAGCTGAGCTGTCCTGGGCCTCTTTCTGCTCTCTGCCCTGGGCCTCGCCCACTCTCATTCTGGACCCTGTGTTTCCCATCTCCACCTCAGATGTCTGAGATGGGGGGCTGGGAAGGTGGCTCAGTGGTAAAGTGCTTGCCTTGCATGCATGAGGCCCTGGGTTCCATTCCTCAGCACCACATAAGCAGAAAAAGCCGGAAGTAGCATTGTGGCTCAAGTGGTAGAGCACTAGCCTTGAGCTGAAGAGCTGAGGCCCAGAGTTCAGGCCTCACGACTGACACAAAAAAAAAAGTCTGAATAGGCAGGGGCTGAGCAAGGGTACCTATAGAGGCCCTTGCTGTATGCCTCTGTCCATAGGGATAGGGTGACTGAAAGTTAGTGGTTATGGGTGTACCCAGGGCCTCATGAGATGACAAAGATGGATGAGCCATCTTCCTGCCCTCAAGATGCTGTTGGTCTAGTTGTTGTGGTGAGAGAGACAATTACAAGACAGAGATGATCCAAAGGCCATACAATGCGCTGGGGCCAGGCACCAGTGGCTCACACCTATCATCCTAGCTACTCAGGAGGTTGAGAGCTGAGGATCATGGTTCAAAACCAGCCCAGCAGGAAAGTCCCTGAGACTCTTATCTCCAATTAACCACCAGACAACTGCAAGTGGTGCTGTAGCTCAAATGGTAGAGCGCTCACCTTGAGCTGAAGAGTGCAGGGACTGCGCCCAGGCCCAGAGTTCAAGCTCCATGACAAAAAAAAAAAAAGGCTGAGGATCCAAACAAGGCATGGGGGATGAGTAGGTAGCTCTGGAATGGCCATAACGGGGCTCCAAAAGACTTCAAGTGGAGAACCATGGTTGAGGAAAGGAAGGTAGTATCTTGAGGAAAGGTCTTGGTATCTGTCAGTGTACAGGGGCAGCAGCTGGGCTGGATGACTGAGACAAAAAGGCATGATCAAAGGAGTCTGAAGAATCGTCTAATAAAGCCCTAAACTGAAAACAGCTATGAGATGAGGTGGGCAAGCTGAAAGGAGGGATGTGAGGCCAGGTCATGGGTTAAGGAGCCTGGTTGGGATGGGGCAGAGCAGGAAGATGACCTGAGACGGAGGGAGGAGCAGCAGGTTTCAGAGCCAGGTTGGGGAGGGAAGGAAGCAGGCACAGAGTAAAACGTCACTTCCAGGCTTTCAACCTGGATGAGATCACTCACTAAGGGGAAAGGAGAGGTGGGAGGGCAGGCTCCAGAACAGGAAGTCCACATAACCCTAACCCCATGATAGGTCTCTCCACAAGGGGGCGCTCCCAGCCTATCTTTATATTTGTAGTTCTTTTTCTTTTTTGGGGGGGCGAGGGGGGGTTACCCTTGGGAGATGAAGACCAAACTCAGGACCTTGCACTTGCCAGGCAAGCATTCTTCCACTGAATTGAATCTCCAACCCTGAATTTAGTTATTTCTATCTCACAGGCAAAAATGTGGATTGCTTTTTTAAACAGGGCCCCAGAAGTGATGGCTTTAGAACTTCTGTTTCACCGAGTTTATTTCATATACTTTTTACAGTTTTCAACACATTTCAAACAATTAACTGGTTTTTTTTTTCCCCTTTAGGCAACAAACATGAGATTTGGGGAGAGCAATGGAGGCTAGAATAGACACATATAGCCTCACTGTGAAGGGAGATGGTGAATTGGGATGAGTTTTGCTTGAGGCAACCTCTGAGGTGTGTCAAAGGCAAAAGAAGCCAGAGCTTGAGAGGAGGCTGTGGGTGTCGAAGGGAACTAGATGGTTCCTGAAAAACTTGAGGGTCTACCTCTGGGCCTCTGCTCCACATTTGCTCTGCAAAATACATGCATATAGGCAACATATAGCACATCTCACCCACTTCCCCCAAGACTGGCCACACCCTTCTCTGAGCCCCCTCATCTCTGTTGGGTCTCAGCAGTCACGTAGCTGGAAGGCCACTGCTACACAATGGGAAGGAAGGGGTATAGCCTGCTTCCTCTGTCATCACCACCATATACCCCAGCTTCAGGCAGAGAGGGCTCAGTAAATACCTGTTGGCCAGCCAGGTGCTGGTGGCTCACGCCTGTAATCCTAGCTACTCAGGAGGCTGAGATCTGAGGATCGCGGTTCAAAGCCAGCCCAGGCAGGAGAGACTGTGAGACTCCTATCTCCAATAAACCACCAGAAAACCGGAAGTGGCGCTGTAGCTCAAGTGGTAGAGCGCTCGCCTTGAGCTGAAGAGCTGAGGGAAAGTGCCCAGGCCCAGAGTTCAAGCCCCACAACCGACCAAAAAAAAAACAAAAAAAACCTGTTGGCCACCTGAATGAATGTGCCTCAAGGAAGCCTGCAGTTGGGGATGGGTGAGGAGATCCTGTATCAGGAGACTGAGACATGGCCATCTAACTGTCCACAGGTCCTTCTCTTACATAGACAGCTATAACCAGGACATCCGCTTTGACAACATCTATATCAGCACCTACTTCTATCAGATTGATGAGCGCAGGAAGAAGCTGGTAAGTGGGCTCTGACCTGTACAAGGATGCCTCACTGACTGTGTTGTCTGTGGGCTTGACACTCCAGGAGACCAGAGGGGGAAAGGGTACACAGAGGGCTCTGGGGTTCGTGTGTGTGTGTGTGTGTGTGTGTGTTGTGCGTGCACGCGCGTGCGCCAATACTCAGCTTGAATTCAGGGCCTGGGCACTGGTCCCTTAGCTCTTTTGCTCAAGGCTGATGTTCTACCATTTGGGCCACAGCTCCACCTTATGATTTTTGCTGCTGAATGGACTTTCCTGCCTGAGCTGGCTTTGAACCATGATCCTCAGATCTCAGCTTCCAGAGTAACTAGGATTACAGGCGTGAGTCATGGGCACCTGGCTGAGATTCTTAACCAGGGGATGTTTATTTCCAGGGAAAACGGACTCTGCTGCCACTGCGCAAGGCGGAGAAGCTGACTGTCATCTTTCCCTGCAAGCCCACCATCCAGGCCTCAGAAATGAAAAACTTGGTGAGGCTGGTGTGGGGATCAGGCCTCTTGATGAAACAACAGACTTGAGGGCGGAAGGCAAAGGCAACCAGCCAAAAGACAGCCACCCTAGCCCATGCTTCTGGCAGGTGAGGGAGCTCCTGGAGATCCTGCCCATCCTACTGCTGTTGCTGCTGCTGTGTGCACTGGACAGGGCTCTCTACACGGTCTTTGACACCATCCGCCAGCATTCCTACCTGCAGTACTCCTTCCACAGTGAGCTCTATCCCAGAGTCCTGCAGCCCCCACATTTAGCCTTCTCCTGTGACCATCTCCTCCCTGTCCTCCCCAAGGTCAAATCTCAGCCCTGGAACCCAGAAGCTATTATTGGGGAGCCTCGATTATCCATTCACCCAGAAAAATAGGTCAAGTATTTTTTTTCTTCTTGCCAGTCCTGGCACTTGAATTCAGTGCCTGGGCACTGTCCCTGAGCTACTTTTGCTCAAGGCTAGCACTCTACCACTTGAGCCACAGCACCGCTTCCGGCTCTTTCTGTTTATGTGGTACTGAAGAATTGAACCCAGGCTACATGCATGCTAGGCAAGCACTCTACCACTAAGCCACCTTCCCAAACTTGGGTGAAGTATTTCTATGACCCCCTCCTTACCTCCAGCCCCCATCCTTCCCCAGCTCTTAATTCTAACTTTCCTCTGATCCCTTACCCCCAACTTCCTATCCTGATCTTAGGCAATCATAAACTGGAGGTGAAGGTTGAAGGAAACTCTATGCTTGCCCGGCTTCTTCGGAAAACCATCGGAGCCCTGAATACCTCCTCAGACGTCCGGGTGGAAACAAACAACATGCGTGAGTGATACTGGAGATTGGGTTTATGGAACTGGGGCTGGGGACAGGTCAAAATGTTCCAAGGTAAAGAGTTAGGGAGTAGCCTGGTGTGGATGGCCCCCATCTGTAATCATAGCTACTCATGAGGCTGAGCATTGACAGTCAAAGCCATGCTAGGCAGAGAAGTCCAAGAGACTTTTATCTCCAATTAACCACCAAAATCAAAAACAAAGAACAACAAAGAAAAAAGCAGAGTGGAGGTGTGGTTCAAGTGGTTGAATGCCAGCTTTGAATGAAAATGCCAAGGAAAGCTTGAAGTTCTGAGTTCAAGCCCCAGTACAAGTATATACACACACACACACACACACACACACACACACACAATTCTGGACTGGTTCTTGAGAGTGAGGAGATGGGGACTGAGACAGAGAAATCAGAGTAGGGAACATGGTGGGTGTGAGCAGAGAAGCCCAACAATCTAAGCAGTGGTATCCAGTAGAACTTTTTCTCTTTTCTTTTCTTTCTTTCTTTTTTTTTTTAAGTTGGTCATGGGGCCTGAACTCTGGGCCTGGGCGCTGTCCCTGAGCTCTTCAGCTCAAGGATAGCACTCTACCACTTGAGCCACAGCACCACTTCCAACTTTTTCTGCTTATGTGGTGCTGAGGAATTGAACCCAGGGCCTCATGTATGTAAGGCAAGCACTCTACTACTAAGCCACCTTCCCAGCCCCTTCTTTTTCTTTCTCTTTCCTTTCTTTCTTTCTTCCTTTCTTTTTCTTTTTTCTTTTTTTTTTGTTGTTGGTGGTGGTGATGGTTGTAGGGCTTGAACTAAGACCTGGGCACTGTCTCTGAATCTTTTTTGCTCAAGACTAATGCTCTACCACTTTGAGCCATAGCTCTATACTTCTGGTTTTCAAATGGTTAATTGGAGATAAAGAGTGTCTCAGACTGGGCTGGCTTCAAACCTTGATCCTCAGATCTCAGTATCCTGAGTAGCTAGGATTACAAGCATGAGCCACCAGCACCTGGCTAGAACTTTCTTTATGATGGAAAGTTCCATATGTGTCCATACTACATGCTGGGCCCAGTGGTTATAGTGCTCGCAGGGCAGCCTTGCCCCACAGGGTAAAGAGCAGGCAAGAAGAAGGGAATGGAACTCCCATTGTCTCCTATGGCTTCCTAGGCCCTACCTCCAACTCCTGTGGGGAGGTTAGCTCAAGGCTGTCCTGTCCCTCATCTTGTCTTGACCAGACCACTGACTGTTTTTCCCTTTCCCCAGCCTGCCTGCCCCAGCCCGTGTGCATGGATACCAAGGCCTACTGGAAGGCTATACAACCGATCGGCCTGCTAGCCTGTCTCTGCCTAGCTCAGGCTTATGGCTACCGGCTCCGGAGGGTCATTGCAGCCTTCTATTTCCCCAAGGTGTGTCATCCCAGACCACTTCACCCCTACACACATACACAAACACACACACATACACACTCAGCTCCCTTCCAATCCCATCTTCCTGCTCAGCCACCATCACTGAAACCTTCCTTCCACTATAGAGAGAAAAGAAGCGGGTCTTGTTCTTTTACAATGAGCTCTTGAAGAAGAGAGCCGCGTTCACACAACTAAGGAGGGCTGCCATCCTGAGGCGGGCACACCAGCAAAGAGCTCCAGTAAGTCCAGACCTGATGTGCCTGCCAGCTTTCAACTGGATCTGAGGACAGTGGGGGTGGGCACCTTCCATCAGTCTGCCCAGCACCTCCCAGTGTGCTAGTCCTACTGGTGCAGGGTGAGTCTGACAGGATGCTGGACGTCAGGAATGTGGTTCTCTATGAACCTCAGGATTCAACCCAGCCTAAGACTCAGTAGACAGGAAAGCCACAGAAAAGGGAAACTAGATCTGGTTGAAGGAAAGCAAGAGGGATGAGGGAAACTAAGGAAAAGCCACAGGTTCTGATGAAGGTGCTGCAGACCAGTTCAATGAAGTTTAGAGGAGAGAAGGAAGCAGGTAGGCTATGGGACAGGAGGCCTAAGGCATGTGCATTATGAAAACATCCAGTCCAGAGAACCAGGTTTCAATCCACATACTCCTTCCAGTAATTCCTTCCCTCATTACTACAACTATGTGACCCTGAGCTATGGTTTGGTTTTTCTCTTTTGTAAAATATTGTCAACTATTCCAGGTTGTAAAGATGAAGTGAATTTTATTCTAGCATAAGAATAAAGCTTATTAGCCGGGCGCTGGTGGCTCACGCCTGTAATCCTAGCTACTCAGGAGGCTGAGATCTGAGGATCGCAGTTCAAAGCCAGCCCGGGCAGGAGAGACTGTGAGACTCCTATCTCCAATAAACCACCAGAAAACTGGAAGTGGCGCTGTAGCTCAAGTGGTAGAGCGCTCGCCTTAGCTGAAGAGCTGAGGGACAGCGCCCAGGCCCAGAGTTCAAGCCCCCCCGACCGACAAAAAAAAAAAAAAAAAGAATAAAGCTTATTGTCATTTTGTGTCCCTTGGGCAAGTGTCTCTCCAAGCATCAGGTTGGTTTAATTTTGTTTCTGTTTTTTTTTTTTTGTGAGAGTCCTGGGGCTTGAACTCAGGGCCTGAACATTGTCCTTGAGCTTTTGTGCTCAAGGCACAAAAATAAACAAAAATTGAGCCACAGCACCATTTTCTAGCTTTTGGGTTAGTGAAGGCAGGAGTCTCACAGACTTTCCTGCCCAAGCTGGCTTTGAGCTGTGATCCTCATATCTCAGCCTCCTGAGTAGCTAGGATTACAGGGGCAAGCCATGTTTACCCAGCTTTATCAGTTCTTTTTTTTTGGGGGGGGGGTCTGGTCTTGGGGCCTGAACTCTGGGCTTGGGCACTGTCCGTCAGCTCTTCAGCTCAAGGCTAGCACTCTACCACTTGAGCCACAGCACCACTACCAGCTTTTTTCTTTTTTCTTATGTGGTGCTGAGGAATCGAACCAGGACCTCAGGCATGCAAGGCAAGTGCTCTACCACTGAGCCACCTTCCCAGCCCCTGTCAGTTCTTTTACCTGAAAAAGAGATGGTTAAAAACTGGAAACAATGGCTCATCCCTGTAATATCAGCTACTCTGGTGGTGGAGATTGGCAGACTAACAGTTTGAGGTCAGCCAGGCAAACCATTAGTAAGATCTCATCTCAACCAATAAGCCAGGTATAGTGGTGTGAGCCTGTGTGTGATCCAGCTGTATGAGAGGACTTAGGTAGGATCTTGGTCTGAGGCTGGCCACAACAAAGACCAAGACCTTACTAGAAATCACAACATCCTACCTGAAAAATAACTAAAGTAAAAAAAAATAAAATAAAAGTGACTTAAGTGGTAGAATGTTCATCTAGTAAGTTGTAGGTCCTGTGTTCAAACCGAGTGAGTATTGCCAAAAGAGACCTAGAGACAGAGAAATAATGATAATAATATCTTCTGTATATGGCTATGTGTGTGTGTTCACAGAGCTAGGGATGGAACCCCAAGGCCTCACACAAAGTGTAAGCTCTGATACTAGCTATAACCAGCCCATATGGTTTTTTCTTTTAAATTTGAGATAACATATCTACAATCTCTTAGTACAAGACCCAACATTATAAACAGAACAATGAATAAGAGCTTTTTCTTTTTTTGTCAGTTGTGGGTCCTGAACTTGGAGCCTAGGTGCTAAACTGGAGCTCTTTTGCTCAAGGCTGGCAGTCTACCACTTAGAGCCACAGCACCACTTCCAGTTTTCTGGTGGTTAATTGAAGACAAGAGTCTCACAGACTTTCCTGCCTGGGCTGGCTTTGAACAGTAATCCTCAGATCTCAGCCTACTGAGATGCTAGAGTTATAGGTGTGAACCGCCTGTGCCCTGCTCAGCTATTCTTATTTAATTGGCCCTAACAAAGTTCATAAAAGTGAGACTGACTTTGCTTGACTTTTTTCTCCAGTGCCTAGGCCTTCCCAGCCTCTATGACACATGAGACAGAAAAAAATGTCTAATAAAAAAAAAAAGAACATACTGAGATTCCTTGACCAGTCCTGAAGTAAATAGGACTTAATGGGCAGATTGAAGTGGGAGGAACATGTATTCTAGGCCAAGGAAACAATGTATAAAGATACAAGAGTCCAAAGGGAATGCCAAGTACCCAACTCTGGCAAAGAAGAAATAAGCACAAAAGAGTCAGTATTAGAGAGGTGGAGCAGAGGCTAGAAAGGGACAGATTACAGAAGGCTCTGAAGGCCAAGCCCAAACGTCCTTTTGTCTGGCAGGCAGCTGGGCCCTGGGAATTTCTGGAGCAAAGAATGATCTGATTTGGTGGCTTGTGCAGGATTCCTGGCAATGGAGGGAGGGTGGGGTTGGGGGGCGGGGCGTATTGATAACAAGGTTTGTAGTTTGGAATCAGCCCTCAGATCTGGTCTGGTTTGACCTAAGATTAGAAAGTCACACCATCTCTCTGAACTACACATTTCTCATCTGTAAAGTGGGGATGACCAGTCCTTCTATTTTTCCCTACTCACCTGTAGGCCTTGACATGTGGACCAAATAAGATGATTTAAAGGTGCAATGATAGCTACTGCTGCTGCATTTCCCAGCCTCCTGCCATTCCATCACAGAGTTGAAGAGGGAGGCTCTCAAGGGCCTTTTTCCAAAGTACCCTCACCCTCTAGGACTCTCCTGGGCTCAACCCAGCCTTCTCCAACAAGTAGGCAGTGTCAGGCCTTGGTGACTTCAGACAGTAAGGGCTGCCCAAATGCCCCAGACAAAAATCCCCTTTTCCCTCTGGTTTCCCATCGGGTACTAAATCCCTCCACTCTTCACCGCCCCCCCCCCACTTCTCCACAGCGCCACCACCTGGTAGACGCCCTGCACCGCCGCTGCCCGCTCCTACGCCGCTGGCTGTGCCGCCGCTGCGTGGTGTGCCAGGAACCCGAGACATCTGAGTCCTACGTGTGCCCGACGCCGGACTGCGAGACCGTGTACTGCCTGTCCTGCTGGGATGACATGCGGCAGCGGTGCCCGGTCTGCACGCCCCGTGAGGAGCTTTCCTCCTCCGCCTTCAATGACAGCAACGATGATGCTAACTACGCGGAGTGAAGGCTGGCGGCTCGCTTTCCCGCCCACCTTTCCGGTTAATAAAACGCCTGGCACGTTCCCGCTGTCTGCGCTTGGCGAGGGTCGGGGACGGGTTGAGCCGGGCAGTGGATCCCAGCCACCCAGGTCCCAGCCAGGGATCTGAGCAAAGCCTGGGTGGAGGGAAGGGAAGGCGTGACAACCAAGCCAGTCCGACAGGGTTTGCCGCAGTGTTTCGGGAAAGTGGCTTAGGCCGGGAAGCGGGGGCGGAGCCGGTGCTAGGGGCCCCCCGGCAGCTCCTTTAGGACCCCGCGCGGCGGCGGAGGCGGGCCGACGAGGGCGGGGCCTCTGCGGGGGCGGGGCTTATCTCCAGGCCGGTGGGCGGGGCGAGGCGGGGCCTGGTGCTGCGCAGCGGCGCGGAGAGCGTGGAGCCGACCCCGCGCCTCGGCTACTGCCAGTGGTCGCGCACCTGCTGCCCTCGCCCGGCCCGGGGCGCTGCTGCCATGCCGCTGGCGCTGCTCTGGGCCCTGGGGCTCCTGGGCGCGGGCAGCCCGCGGCCCTCTCCGCCGCTCCCAAACACAGGTGAGTTCCGGGCCTGGAAGGAGTGGAGGGAGGGGTACCCTAGGGAAAGGTGCGGGAAAGTGAAGCGGCATTGGGGTACCCGGGGCAGGCCGGAGAGCCCACCCAGAGCACGGCCTGCCTGGTCTGCTGCATCTGGGCCTGGCGACTCGGCGATGGAGTGCCAAGGAGGGCAGAAGGGATGGATACTGGTGCCGCCGTCCGGTCGCCCTCTGCGTTGTCCCGCAGAAACTTTCAGTTCAGGTACCGGGCATCGAGGGGCCTTGCCCGGCGCCCCCTTTAAAAGTGGTGGAAAGAGAGTCGGCTCCCCTCTGGAGCCCAGCTGGCCGTTCCACAGGGTGCCAGGGTCCCGAATGGCCAGGGTTCATGAGATGGAAGGAGGGGGATTCTTTCCTTCCAGGCCCAGCCCCGCTCCCCCCCGCCCCCCCCCGTGCGGTGGCCACCCGCAGCGTGGCGGGGCGGGAGGAGCCGGGAGAAGGGAGCCTCGCCAGGAAAGAGGCCGGGACACCAACTCCTCCTTGGAACTTTCACTTCCCGCTGCTGTCTTGGGCCGGGGGGCCGAGAGGGCAGGCGGGGGTGGAGTGTCCGGAGGGAGCCATGGGGTGGGGGGGCAGCACTCGGGGAGGAAGCGGAGGCTGTGTGGAGCGGGTGTGCCCGACTGGGCATCAAGGCTATTTAGAGAGGTGGGGGTGTTTGCACTGCTCACCCAGAAATGGGTGTTGCCTGCCTCTTCGAAGTGAAGGAAGGGGAGGGTGAATGGGCACTCAGCCACAAGGCTTCGCCCAGTGTTGAGAGAGGGTGTTCCTGGGGTGTGTGTGTGTGTGTGTGTGTGTTGTGAGGTGGGGGGGGGATAATTGGAAAGGTGTGGGGAACAGGGGAGGGTCCCTGTGAAAACCTGAGATCGGCCAGAAAGATCCAAGGAACAGTTGCAGGCTGAGCAAGCTGGACTCCCTCTGGGCTGTAGGGATGGGTTGGTGGTGGAAAGCAGCCTCTCCCTCCAGTTTCCCCCTTGAGTTTCAGCATGCAATGCACAAGCCCATCACATCTGAGGGCACCAGTGGCTCCAGTTCCACTATAGATCTCCTGGCCTTCTCTTGGGGTTCTCTGGGGCTCTGCAGGTGGCACTGAGGAGCAGCAGACCAGACCAGAAAAGGTCCTGAGTGGGTCCTTAGAGCACCAAGTCCTTCAAGACAACCCTCCAGTTCCCCCAGCAGAGGTGCTTCCGGTGAGCCCCACCCCCACCCCCATCTCTCAGCTAATAAATACCACCACTCTCATCCTTAGTTCTCAAGTGTCTCAAGGCCAGAGCTCAGCTGCAGAGTCTGTGTGTGGATGGAGTTCTTGTCCCAGGTCCAATCCAGGTGGAGCTTCCTCTCCCCACACGCTAGCACCTGGCTTTACTTAGCGCCTCTCCTCTCTGCATGCACTCCTCAGCCATCCATCTCCACTGGGTGAATTCTGACTAGACTTGCTCTTCTCATCTCACAGGGTTGGTGTCAGGCAGTGCCTCACCAACTCCCCCCCCCCATACTAAAGCTGAGTCAGAGGAAGGGTTGGGGCCCTGTGCTGGGTCCTCCGTGATGCTTCCTCTCTGGACAGGAAGCTGAGAAGGGGCGGCTCAGATACCTTCCTTGACCTCCCCACACAACCCCCCAGAACAATGCCCCAGTCCAGGCAGGGCTTCCTGGCCACTCCCTAGGGATCCCCCACTAGTGTATGACCTAATTGTTGGTGCTCTCCTGAGGGCCTGCTGGTTAGGGAGAATAGGAATTGTGGACAGGGCTAAGGGGAGTGACATCCTTCTGATACCCACAGACCAGTTCACCTGAAGCCCTGAGAATTCAGTTGGAGCTGGATGGTGAGAATCATATCATAGAGCTGCTACCAAATAGGTAAGATGGCAGGGGCTGGGAATATGCTTGCCTAACATGCATGAAGCCCTGTGTGCAATTCCCCAGTACCACATAAACAGAAAAAGCACTGTGTCTCAAATGGTAGAGCACTAGCTTTGAACAAAAGAAGCTCAAGGATAGTGCCCAAACCCTGAGTTCAAGCCCTAGGATTGGCAAAAGAAAAAAAAAAGATGGCAGGAATAATAAAAAGCATATGCCCACATTTACATAGTATTTACTATATGCCAGGCACTAAGCCCACACTCATGTAGGTTCTTCTTAACAATTCTATAAGTTAGAGACAATTATATATCATTATCCTCATTTAACATATGAAGAAGCTATCGCACAGAGAGGCTAAATAATTTGCCCCAGGCCACACAGCCATCCTGTGTCAAAACCTCAATTGGAACCCAGATAGTCTGGCAGAGAGTAAGTGGGCCAACCCTTGCTGCCTCAGGGGAAGTGGTCAAGTTAGGAGCTTTGCTTGGCTCCCAGATGATCATCCATTACCCTGTGATTTCGCTCAGGTGCTGACCTTCCTTTTTCTTCACTCCATAGGGATTTGGTCCCAGGCCGCCCAACCCTGGTGCGGTACCAGCCTGATGGTACTCGGGTTGTCAGTGAGGGGCACACTCTGGTGAGTCAGGCCTATCTGTGTCCTTTTTCTAGCCTGGGCAATGGAGGGAGGAGCAACTGGAGGAAGTGGAAGGACGCTGCAGGTCTAGACTCCTCTGGGTTCAAGTGCTGCTCCCCCTGAAACAAATGTTTCTCTGCTGTAGGAAAATTGCTGTTATCAGGGAGGCGTGCAGGGCCATGCCCGCTCCTGGGTCTCCATCTGCACCTGCTCCGGGCTCAGGTACAGTGGGTGGGTCCCATGACAGTGGAGGAGGGCTCAGGTATGAAGCTGAAATGTTCTGATTTTCTGTCTCTTCTTAGGGGGCTGGTGGTCCTGTCTCCAGAGAGAAGCTATGCCGTGGATCTGGGGCCGGGGGACCTTCAGGGTTCTCCCATTATCTCTCGTATCCAAGATAACCTCCTGCCACACCACTCCTGTGCCCTGCGCCGACATGTCCCTATGCCCACTCAGGCTTCACCAGATCTCCCTCTGGGACAGCACCATCTTCACCGGGTGAGGAGGAAAGGCAGGGGGGCTGGGCTTCAGTTGTGCTGCCACATTTACTCTTCCCACCAAGGCAAGCAGGCAGGTACTGTCCATCTTTTATTGAGGAAACAGCTGGGTACCAGTGGCCTAAGCCTGTAATCCTAGCTACTCAGGAGGCTGAGATCTGAGATCCTGGTTCAAAGACAGCTGGAATAAGAAAGTCCATGAGACTCTTATTTCCAATTAATCGCCAAAAAGCCAAAAGTGGAGGTGTGGCTCAAGTGGTAGAGTGCCAGCTTTGGGCAGAAAAAAAATTTAACAGTGCCAAGGCCTTGAGTTCAAGCCCCAGTACTAGCACCAAAAATATAAAATGATAATAAAATGAAGAAATTTCAGAGTTACCCAAAGTCATATCACTAAGTTTTATATCTATCATCAGAAGCAAGGGTTCTAAGCCGGGCGCTGGTGGCTCACGCCTGTAATCCTAGCTACTCAGGAGGCTGAGATCTGAGGATCGCAGTTCAAAGCCAGCCCGGGCAGGAGAGAC